CACAGCAGGCCCAATGTATGTCACTGAAGGTGGACATGATGCCCATTGGTTCATAGAAAGCTCTGTACATCCTCCAGGCTATTATGGCATCTTGAAGTAGTGATGCTTGCTTCAAGTGATGCAGTTTGAACATCGCCTCTGTTTCACTCTCTCTTGGCATCTCTTCACTGTCTCAGTCGGCTGTCCCAATTGTGAATGAAATTTTCATCCATTTTTTCATCTTCTGTGTCATTACATGTTGACAAATCATCATTCTCCGTTCACCTCTGTGCATGCACTCTCAGTCTCGGGTATTATATCAGCAATGAGGCCCTGAAGATCTGTATCATCTACGTCCCGCAAAAGGATCATCTTCACCCCATATCGCACGAAACAACATCCATTGATGAATCAGCTATCCCAGCACTTCGAAAACACTTGCGAATAGTTTCTTTCCTTCACATCTTTCCAGTTGAGCCACCCATCTAATTGCCATGAGAATGTTCAATGAACTTGTAACTTCAGATGCCGTTTTGCACTGATCAATTTTGGAGAGAACATATCTTAAAAGAAAGCGACGATAATGCACCTTGAAGTCTTTATAATACGAGATCAAGGGGCTGCAATTTTGAGGTGGTATTAGGCGACAAGAAGCATATTTTTTATATTGCTAAACTTCTTCTCAAGGTATTCAGGATGACAACCAGCATTGTCCATTAGTAGCAAAATTGAACGATTGGTACTGGATAATTTGTGATTGAATTTACTAAGAGAATGGCCTCCATTATATCACCTGTCATCCATGCCTTCCTTTGGTCAAAGTACGTCACAGGCAGTACACTTTTGTCGAATCTTTTCAAACAACGTGGGTTTGCCGATTTCCAGATAAAAATGGGCTTTTCCTTTACACCAGCAGCACTGACAAAGAACGCAACAGTTATTCTGTGTTTTGACTGCTTTCCTCCCTTACACCCTTTTCCTTTCTCTCCAAATCCCTTACTAGGCAAAGCCCTCCAGAAGGACTCCGGTCTCGTCCATATTATAAATGTTTTCTTTTGTGTAACCGCTTACTATTTCAGGGAGCGTCTCTTTCCACGAATCTATCGTGCTTCCTTGCACATCCCCTGATTCACCACACACAGCAAATTCCTTTATGTTGTATCTTTCCTTCCATTTGCATAGCCACCCATTCGATCCTTTGAAATTTGGCTTTTCTAATCGCTCTGCAATCTCTTTAGCTTTTGCTATAAGCTCTGGTCCTCCAGGGTGGATATTTTTTGAGCTAGCAAGAGCATACCATTCATACAATACTTTATTAACTTCTTCAAATTCTTAAACACGACGAACTTTGCTATTTCCTGAAGCATTTGACTGACATTATGGACTCACTGTCCCTTAGAATTTTAACTATCTGGGTTCTTCCACAGCAAGGGATCTATGGCTCATTCCACTGTTCTTTCCAAACATCTTTATTACTTCCACTTTCTGCTTCAGGGTAAGGTATCGCTTTTTCTTCATGCTGTTGGTAGGCATTTTGCCTTAGACATTACACGTGGTGATGGGTGGAGCCTTAGTGCGCACGCTCTGCCGTGCCCGGCCGTGCAATCTCGCATGAGATCTGTGAGTGACAAAGCTGGCCGTTGCGTAGTATCCATAGACAGTACCATGGCCAGTCAAGCTGTATCAGGAAGTGGACTAGAGGTTTTTGAGATACATTCCTACGTACATAAGAGGATACCACGCATACATTGGGACTATGGACTCCGACCATCGCGGCGAAGTTTTACTTGTCAAGCCCGAACCAACAAATGAGAAAGACTCGAACGCCGTGGCAGTGTTAAAAGAAGATAGCATTGTTGGGCATGTTCCACGAAATCTTTCCCCTAGACTGTTCCATCTTTTAAAGGGATGTCAATAAAGCATTTGCTGAAGTTACCGGTCAAAAAGTGAACAGGGGTGCAGGCTATGGCCTAGAGATACCATGCACCTATCGCTTGTACGGTCCACCTGCTTATATAAACAAGATGAAACAACTAGTGGAATCACTTGCTGCATCTTAGCTAGCTAGCTACTGACTACATGTATTATACTGTATCGTTTTTTGTATGGGTGTGGCGTGGCCATTGGTCGGAGTGGAGAGGTGCCGATTTTAGAGGTTTTAAATAATGGTAAGTATATGGAAGACATTCCGTTCCATGCGTGATGGCCGTTGTAGAGAGTCCGGCCGCTCTTCGGAGGCCCGCTGTAGAGAGGTTCCACTGTACACTCTCATCAACTCTAACAGTGGTTTTGTCGGTGCTTTGCTCCTGTTGTAAGTGACACCGCTTAGCTATCTGGGGGACCAAACTCATTTGTCAATTGTCTTGTAAAGCTTTCCTTTTACGTTGAAGTTTCCTTGCAGCAGCACTGCACCGTCATGTCGTACTGGCAGGGCTAACAGTTGTCTGTCCAGGTCATTGAAAGCATTTTGACCTGTTACGGTGGGAAGTAGTTTCTGTCTGATGGCGTCATCGAGGGGTTTCATGTGGCTCTCAATATCAGGGACTGTCCGGCTGAGGTAGGTCCATTTGCTGATCAGGCCATGCGTGAATGCTGAGTGAGGTTGACTTGTGTGATCGCGATGTTTGACAGCTCTTCTACTTCTTGCGTCCACTTGGCAACTTTCTGTTGTACATAGCTGTTGACGAAGCACGTTGTATATACCTATGGCAGCCCCAAGGAGCTTTCTGCCATCAGATGCTATGGATACGATTATTCCTCGGAATATTATGCTGTGGGCCTCTTCGAGTTTCTCTTCCTTTACGACTAGCCATGTTTTTGCCGCGTTTGGAAAGTACCCGTACTCAAGGCCATTTTTGGTGATTTCGTCCCACCATGTTTTGAGGTTGCTGATCTTACCGCAGGCTGTGGCATCATCGGCGTACCAGATCTGCTTCACTGATTTATCTTCGAGATCTTTCATCAGTGGCGTGATGGCAATGGCGTACATCGCCATTGCCAGGGGGTCTCCTTGTGTTGTGCCCTCTTGTGACAGAAGAGTCTCCCCATCTATAAACAGTTGAGCTTTCTCTCTGTAGGTGTGTTTATAAGCACCTTCGAAAGAGAGGGACATAAGTGTTGGATGTTTCGAAGGGCTGCTTGTCTGTTGAGGGCGTTGAATGCATCCACTAGTATCGTTGCCTCGGTATCAGGTGCTACGAACAGCTTGCGTGCGGCTGAGACTGCTGCTTCACAGCCTGATAGATGGCCCGCGCATACCTGAAGGGGGCCTGCTGCTTCCTGGATGTCTTCACTGATGGCCCTTGCTATGGTCCTGCCGATTATTCGCCTGGCAGTCTCCCCAACACCGATCGGCCTTACCCCGGGGCACTTGTCAAGAGCGATGAGGCGACAAGCTACTAGGGCTGAGACTCCGCTAGGGTCAACGTGTTGGGAGCAGAGTTTTCTGGCTGTCGCGGCCAGTGCATCGCAAAGCTCTGTGGAGAAGGATGAGCACAGTCTTTTCCATGCGGCTGCATCCATGCATGAGGGGCCTGCTGCTCCATCCGTCCTCAGGGCCATACTACGAATTAGCTGTCCATCTATTTTTTCGAATAGGGGTGTGGTTCGGCGGTTTGTTGTTTGTTGTGTGTCTGGGATCGACTAGGGATGTTGGCTTGGCTGGCTGTTGAAGAGGGTGCTTTGCCTGGAGAATTTCTCGCACTGTTTTGGCTGTGCCATTCTCTTCGACCTGGCTGTCCAGGGGTAAGGGGCCATTGTTGTTGTCTTGGCTTAGCAGGCGTAGTGCCGCTCTCATTTTCCCTTCCATCACTAACTTGGCAAAACTTCGTGCCGATTGCGTGTTGTTGGTGTTCTGTTGTCTGAAGTGGTGTTTGAACTCAGTTTGGATCGTACGGCCTTCATTCAACAGGGCATCAATGTCTCCATCTGACCACAGCTTCAGGCGTCGCTCCAGGTGTTTTGTGTGTTCCTTCTGTCGGGATCTCTGATGAGGCTTCTGGATAAGTAGCACTGGCATGACCATGGCCGCTCTCATGGCCACGGATTCAAGGGCTGAGCTGTCAGCGAAAGCGCGGAAGAGGCGTGCAAGTTCTTGGACAAATGCTTTTCCAGCCTTTCCAGTGGGTGGTGGTGGTGGTTCCCGGCTCGGATTGTCGGGGTTATTTGTGACTGCAGGACCAGTGGGCTGCTGTTCCGTGGTCTTGGTTGTTGGTCTAGGTAGTTGGCTTGCTGTTGATGTTGGAAACGTGTCAACCTGAGGTGTGATATTTTACAAAGGTGGATCTGTGTTGGCATCAGCACTGGTCCATTCCCTCCGTCTCTCGGGCCGGCTTGGTCTTGGGTCTCTGACCGCGGGATGTCTGTGTGCTGCTCTGAGCCTTGCTCGGCAGCTTCGGTTGTATCGGGCTTCGGAGGGTTATTGCAGTGTCCTTGGCGGAAAGGTAGACAGTTCACACACACTCTGTTCGCTTTTTTGCAGGAGCAGTTAGTACAGCGCCCGCTGGCGTTACATCGGCAGCATGTCTTGGGCATCGTGTATTTGCTCAAGCGAAGCGACAAGCGAGAGTCCAGTCCACCTATCTATTGCATTTACACCCCTTTTACGCGAAGTTCTGTACAACGGCTAAATCGTTTGATGGATATAGCTAAATCGTTGGATGGATATAGCTATATCGTTGGATGAATAATAATTAGCTGAATCGTTGCATGGGTATAGCTAAATCGTCCGAAGGCTAAATCGTCAGGTAATTATAGCCAAATCAGATATTGTGGCATCGCCGGAGACTCTCCGCTCCGCGCATGCGCATAGCCTTGTAGGGCCACGTGTGACCAGGCACAGCTTTCTCCAACGGAGAGTGCTTGCACAATGGCCTGTTCAATAGATGACTGCGACTCCGCCATTTTTAACCCTCGGCGTGCATGCGCAGAGAGGGTTACAGTAGTTAAACCCGCTATCTCCCTACCAGTACCAGTTCAAGCACTGATTTTTTCACTGAAGGTCTCCAATTTCGCCGGAGGTGTGCACGGACATCAAGCGATCGTTTCTTTCTTGCCGCTAGTCACTACGGTAGATCATGGAGCTCTTCAAATGGTCGACACTGAAGAACGCCATTTGCTGAACTCAGCACCAGTGAGCCGCACGCATGCGCCAGGCAGGGGCGTTGTCCAATGCAGCGTATTCTACCAGGCGAGTTGGCAGACCTGCAGAGGAACTCTCAGCCTCCAGTACTTTCTGTAAGTAAGTGTGCACATTTACAACTGGCTAGCTTGCTGTTGATTTGCACGAAGAGCAACTTGCCAGAGTCTGCGCTGTGTTACGCGGGCCTTGCGGGGCGCTCAGTCAAATGGGCCTTCATTGTTTGTCCCCCCAGGTTGTAGCCTGATTACCAAAGTCTGCCCATGAAACCACAACCATGTGCGTTGAAGACAAAACATGAGGTGAATGCGGTATCTAGCCCCTGCTTCAGGCACTAGCAGCCCCATTAGCTACTACTTTCAACAGTTACAATTTTTCATATCTACAACATACCCATGAACATCAGAGTAACTGTAACAATAAATGCAGTGTTGTCATAAGTTGTTAAAAATAGTGGAAACAAGTGGAAAAATCATTTCTTCACAATGAAAGGGGGATATAGGGATGGCTTGAAGCACCAAAAAGGAAGAAACAAGGGGTCATTACACAGCAAAGTTGCACAAAGCTACATGACACCATCCCTATATCTTTGTTCGATATTAAACTTTGCTTATAAACAATAAAACAAAGATATAGGGATGGTGTCATGTAGCTTTGTGCAACTTTGCTGTGTAATGACCCCTTGTTTCTTCCTTTTTGGTGCTTCAAGAAGCCATCCCTATATCCCCCTTTTATTTTGAAGAAATGATTTTTCCACTTGTATATAATATAATGTAAATGTTCCCATTTTGCACTCAGGTTCGCTCGCTCGCCAACAATGTGTTGCATTCGTTCAAGTAATATTGAAAGATTGATTAAAGTGTACACTATACTGTGATATGCAGGTGCAGCTGTATGACCTTTGTACCAGTGGTCACCTGAGCACCATGCGAGGCCACGCCCAGCCGGTCACGTCTCTCAACATCCACAGTTCTCCTCCGAACACTCTGGTGACTGGGGCAGCCGACAGACGGTATGTCCGATTTATTTCTGAGCTGCGAAAATACTGAACGGGGATTTTTATGATATGGTTTGATGTCTGGCTATAATGTTAAATTTAAAGTCCAGTAATATTCCAGAATGCCAGTTTAAGGTGCTATTGCTATAAAGCCGAAAGAACTACCAAACTTAGTGAGAAAGCAAATCTCGTAGTAACTTGTATCGTGTTTACTGAGTGCCCACGGCTCCATTTCCCCGCATACAAAATCACATGTATCTACACACGTATTTAATGCCTGCCAAATACTTCTGTTACTTTGAGTTGCTGTCAACAATTTTAAAAGTTTGTTGTCAGTTAACTTCTTAGATGCTCAGTTTAGTGTATATAAAACATGTATATACATACCGACATTCCATGCATAATTATTAATATCTTGTTGTAGATGGTGATAGAATATGTAAGTATCCTCATACTATATAATTATAATGACCTTCCCCCTGTGCTCTTGTGTGCATGGTGAAGGGTGAGGGTGTTTGACACGCGGCGGGGGAGCCAGCCGGCCATGACTCTGTCGGGCCACCAGGGAGCTGTGGTCTCCACTCAGTGCGATGACTGGAAAGTTGCCAGTGGTGGGTGAGAGGTCTCTACCAACTCTGTCCTTATCTTCCTTGCATTTTGTCATACTAACAACGGCAAGCGAATGTGAACGTATTTAGTGTGGCTGTGCTAGCACTGAGGCACTGGCACCAGGTACAATAATACAGTGGAGCTTCCGATAAGGGACCCTCCGAGATAGGGATGATCTCTCTACAAAGGACACTTGTTTCAACCACATGCTAATACTTTAGTGTATTATTTGACTTCCGAGATAGGGACGACCTCTCTACAAGGGACACAATCGTTTGACCCATAGTGTGCCTTGTTCGGAGGTTCCACTGTAGACGTCATTCCGGGCAGAGCCATGTCAACTTCCATTGTGACACTGCTATTGACTGACCATTGCAAACTTCCGTTGTAGCACTCAGAAGTTACTGACCCTTCTCGGCTGATGTGTACATTTAGAATTTGTGTGACACTGTTCCATTGTCACTATAATAATGAGCTACAATGGCGAGTGAATGTGAATGCACGATTTTAGCACTCAGAGAATTATGACATTAGTGACAGTACTATACACCTGAACCACTTTGCTTGCCAATAAGTAAATTATAGTGGAATAGCACAGTTATAATCACTGTCTCTCTATTGGCAAGCAAAGCAAGCCTCCCACTGGTGTAGTTGATTTGTTTGTCTTTCCTCGTAGTTTTCCACACACACAAACCTGAAGTAGGTAGGTTCATTTCAGTTTAGGTTCATTTCAGTTTATAGTGTGTATCCACATTAGTGAAAGCTGTTGTGTGTGTGTGTGTGTGCAGTAAGGACGGGCTAGTGGTGGTGTGGGACAGAAGAATGAGTGGAGAGTTGTGGAGCAGTCACGAGCGTCACCCAGTGGCCCGGTGCTGGTTCACCAGTCGCTACCTCGTGGCCGCACACCTCCCTCAGAGGAGGAGAACCGACGTGGTCTCTGGGGCCGCTGAACCTCTCCACAGATGTCACCGGGGACTACTGAGGGTTATGGACTTCTCCGTCGACCCTCTTTACTACACTCGCCTCCTCCCGAGTGTCTGTTCCAGTGGATACGATGAACCGTCCCGCTCCTTCTACCACCTGGACCTCAAACTACCCTATGACACCATTTCATGATACTGTCTCACTCCTTTTGCTCATCTTAAAGTTTTCAGATAGCAATCTTTTGTATAAGCTATACCTCCCCCATTACTGCTACTATGGTTGCGTGTAGTTTGTACCACATGGCTTTTTTGCAGCGATGGATTTATGTTGTGCCGAAACGTGAAGCTTTTTGGGCCACAAATATCGATTATATACTCGAGGAGCTTGGCAGGAGCTTCCCAGCATCATCTTACCAGTTATTCTTTGCTAAGAATTTGTACTAAGGAAGTGTGTGTGTGTGTGTATGTACAAGTGTACCCAGTACCGCACTGTGATACCTACATACATTCTCTTACAGACCCCCACATTCCATACATACAGACCCCCACATTCTTTAGTTATATACTACTCAAAGGAATGTTTACTTTCACCACCAAAAGAAATAACACACACAGCTGATTTGACCCCATGTTAACCTAGCTACAGTAGTTGATACACATTATGTAAGGCATGAGGTGGGGGTTGGGAGTTGTTTAGTCTGTACATGTGTGTATATATAATGGTGCAAGTCAATTCTGGACAAAAAGGCTACAACTATGTTGGCATGTCACTATTGAATATCCATAGCTACTTGCATTGGTCCTTTGCAAAAAGCAAGCTCCCATACATTTAGCTGACACTTGTACGCACTCATGCTCTTTCTCTTCATCTTATTCCTCTGCCTCTCCTTACACATTCCCTTCTTTATGGTCATAAAAGTCTAAGTGATTACCATGCTTGTCCCTATGGTTCTGGTATACAGTCTCTTTTGTACTCCTTCATGTTAGTCTCCACCAGTCTCTCCTCCATACAATCCATGGGGATTGGGTCCCACTCTAGAAAGTACTTGTTGAAGAAGAAGATAGGGGGTGTGTTTGAACGGACACCATTTCTCTCTATTATCCCTAATTCCATTGTCGTCAGGATGCAGATAAAATGAATAACTTTTCTCCCTGGACAGAGCTTCTTTATATGCTCTTTAGCATACGAATTGACAATCCATATAAACTTGTCGATTATAGGCATACCATTGGTAGCATGTAAATCAGGTGGAGGTTTGGCACCTATGGCCTGAGGCAAGGCATAAAGAGAAGAATAGAAGTGCTCCTCAGGTGCGTACACAGTCGTAAGGTATTCATGAAGTTCTTTTGCAACAGAGTCATTCAGTATAAAGCGAACGAAACTTCGACTCGCTGCAATGAAGTTCATACTCTTGTACAGTTTTATCCCCTGAGGCGGTTTTACCTGCTTGTCGCTAGTGCGTCTATTCTTTCCGTTCTTATCTAGGCCGTATTTCCTTGTGAAACGCTTCTTCCAAAACTCTTGAGGCAGAGGAAAAGCATCGACGGCCGAGTAGCCTCCAAGTTGCTGGAGAGAATGAACAATTTCTCTGTTAGTCTTTAGTGGAATCTCTCTTCCACAGAGATTGATGACATATCTCCATCTTGACTGCGGATATTTCTCTAAGTCCTGCATGCATTGTAGCTGTGCGTCAGTAATGGATATGTGCCCATAGTACACCTTTACTGGATTTGAGACTACAAATACGTTGTCCAGGCACTTTGACACCGCCGTGAAAAACCCCTTGAAACTCTCACCCTGTCTTGCATCTGGGTGAATGCAGTACAAATTGTGTGCTCTATAAATAGACTTGAGCAGTCGCAATACTTGTCCTGCGTTCGTGTAGACCATAAGGATGTAAGCTATTGGGAAATTCTTCTCGATCTGAGAGACATAAAAATTGTTTTCAAACTCTTCTCTGATTTTATCGCAGCTCATATTTTTGAATTTCAGGGCAAAGGACTCCCACGGATGGTTATTTTTCCAGACTTTAGCTGTTAGTAAGGTTAGAAGTCTGCATATATTGTGCTGGATTCTGTCTCAACTTGTGACAGTCTTTTTTGAGTGGCATCCACATCTGTGTCACCGTTCCTCTCTCCCAGGAGTGGAACGCAGACGGCAGTGAGCAGTGTGGGCTGCTCTGATTCACGATGTGACTGTGATTAACATACTCATTCCAAATCTGTCTATACATCTTCCCTGGATGTGGTTGAAAGACTTGGTTAGATAGCTATACCTATTATAGACCTTTGAATTGTACCTGCGTCTGTCTCGTTATTGGCCACTGATACAGGTTGAAGCCCGTCTGTTTCGTTTCTGGCCATTGATGCCGGGGAAAGCCCCACTCGTATTGTAGCGGGGCTAGTTTGCCTTTGTCTGGTGCAGCCCCACGCCGACATAAAGTCCTGCCTTATGGTGTCGGCACCGCAGCTCTTTATTGAGCCATACTTTACGTACGAAATGAAGAGGAAGAGTCCTGTGAACGCGACGACGAGTATGAAGCCGTTCTGCAGACGGCACGACCTAGGAGGAGACTCTGCCATTTCTCCCTCCCGGTGCCGAGGGTAATTAGAGGGAGATTGTCTCGCGATCGCGCGGCCACGGCTAGTGAGGCTTTCGTCACTTCCTACGCAAAGCTACGAATTTTTGGGAACGTTGCAGAGAAATTGCGACATGCGATTCAACAGGCGATGAGCCGCGCCCCGTACTGCATGCAGCTTGGGCGGGAAGGTTGCGCATGCGCGAGCAGAAACAGTGTGACGACACCCGGACCCCCTATCAGCCTGCCCCCTATGCAGTGGGCGGGAGCAGCTGAGCTAGGGGAGGTGGTGTTATACAGCTAGCAGTGCATGCAGTCTATGATTCGCTGGAGAGTGTATCGGGTCGGAGGCAGGATGCGTACAGTAACCAAGATGCAGATAATGGCCGCCGTTCTAGTGGGCTTTTTCCTCGGCTACGTTCTCCTACCGTCCACCATTAGCTTCAGCACGGACGAGGCCGGCCAGGGAGACCCCGTAGGTAAAGGTTTCTACAACGCGAAGCCTAGGGCGGCAGCAATCCAGATTTCGCCCGACGGCAGGGAATTTATTGTGGAAGGCAGAGCCAAGAGAATTCTGAGCGGGGCCATCCACTACTTTAGAGTGGTGCCCGACTATTGGGATGACCGCCTGAGGAAACTGAGGGCCTCGGGACTCAACACCGTGGAAACGTAAGCCTGGGGAAAGCTAGATATAAACATCTGGCGAATTTTTAGTTGTATGTATCTCTAATTAGAGCGCAGGTAATACACGGTAGCGCATGCGCAAAGTAAACTTCCTACTTACCAGTTTGATTAACCACAGGTATGTGCCCTGGAATGCCACGAGCCAGTTCTGGTGTGTTTGACTTCACTGGGATCCTGGATGTGGCAGAGTTCATAAAGACAGCTCAGCACCTGGGGCTACACGTCATTGTCCGACCGGGGCCCTACATCTGTGCCGAGTGGGAAATGGGAGGCCTCCCTGCGTTAGTGTTCTTTTATTGCTGTGATGATGTAGAGATGTTGTCGTGGAGTTTGGCAGAGCCACGCCCACGAGTACAATGCATGTGTTTTACTCCACCTGCAAACAATCTTGCAGCTCCAGTCAGATTTCAGAGAACAGCTCATAATTATTATTATTAGCATCTTACATATATTACGTTCGATGCTCCACCCACCCAGCCCAATGACATCTTACATAATCAACAAAGCTAATTTATGATGTAAATTGCATTATTTTATGCTTGCAACTAGACAGATCTCACACTTCGTGCTCATGGTTGTGGCTCCAACATATACTTCATTTTGTCTCACATCCTCTGCTGATCTTAGTAAAATCTATGTATATAGCAGCATAATGCTAAGACCGTTGCTTTTCTTCAGCAAGCGTACAGATGTGTCTTTATAAAGAGTGGTGTACCGGTCGAATTGTTAACGTTTATATGTACATATAAGGCATCAGTACAATGGACGACACCTGCCTCCCACGAGTTACAATCCTACAATCCTACCCTGTGTTTCCCACGCTAGCTGTACAATGTGATTCGCAATGTGATTATTTAGATTACTCACGGGAGCTTCCTAATGTGTACATATGCACTGTACAATAATATCGTTAGAGTGTTGCTGAGAAAGCTTGACTGTGCATTGTCCACGCAGGTGTATTATGACATTGTGTCAAGGCTAGTATTGTTCAAACATGCTGATAAGGTTCCAGGCATGTGCATAACACGTTGCATCAATGTTTGTTTTATGTGCTGTTGGGGGAAATGAAATTGAGTGATATCAAACATTCATTTCGTGATGATATTACATTCATGATGTTTTGCTATGGCAATTTTGGCAATTTTGCTATTTGCCATGAGCGCGAAGTGTGAGGTATGTGTTGCTATGGCAACGTTTCTATGTATTTTAATGTTGGACTCTGTGGCATGTGGGAGAGAGCCGATCTGATCTACACAATTAACAAATAATTGGCGAGTAAAGTGAGCCTACCTAGTCGTTTCGATGCAGGAATATCTATATTAATATGTGACGGGCTCTGCACGGGCACTGCAAATATCGTAATGTTCTACGTCTTCTACATATGCGCAAAATGCATGCGAATATTGAACTGCTTGTGCTCGCTCGCCAAAAATGTGTGGTATTCATCTTGTTTCGTGTCACTCCCTACCATAATGTATGTATGTCAAAGAATTTGGCCTGCTCCCACTTATCAAAAATGCACGTGTAGTATAACACCATCCATGTACTGCAGGTGGTTGTTACATGATCCTAACATGGTACTTCGGCTCCAACTATGCCCCCTACACCAAGGCCGTATCTCGGTACTTCACACGGCTGTTTAAGGTCCTGGGGCCACTCCAGAGCTCGTACGGTGGACCCATCTGGGGTTCCAGGTGGAGAAACGAGTATGGCTACTGGACGAATGACACACTGCCGGGAGGGCGCACCTGCAGTTTCTGCACAAGGTCAGCTGACAAGGCTAGCTGCGTGTTTGGGCTCATTCACGTCACAGTACAGTCAACCTAAGGAGTCGGTCTTGTTTGTGCGTCACACTATAGTATCCTGAAAGGAGTCGGTCTTGTTACGTTGAGAGTATTCACGATTTGGCAACTCCAACTCTATGTTGGATATAACACACACACACGTTGGTATGACCTACATACATACAGCTGTTGCAAACAGTGGTGGGGACGTACATACTTGCAACACACCACGTTGGTATGACTTACAGGTATAGAAAAGAGTGGTGGGAATGTACACACATGAAGTGGTGGGGATGTACTTACATGTACATAATGTACATATATCACAATGTACATAATGTACATAATGTACATGCATAAGTTACCGATGTGCAGATGTGCAGATATTATGCGTGAGTGTGATAAGTGGTTAGTAGGGATGAAGACTATTCAGCAGTACCAGAGAGACAGTAATGGCCATCAATCCAGAGACGCTATCCCCAGAGAATAGGCACTCGATTGTGTCTGGAGCTGGCTATGCTGTCTTCCACATCAGATATTTCTTTTGTGTTGCGTTGATTTGTGTTTTCGTTGTCAGTGATATCAATGCCAGCTGATCGTGTGTTTTCTTGAGACGATGATGTGCTCTGTCACTTCCTCGCCGTCAGACACGGGACATACGAATTGGACAGTTTCTTGTTTTACTTTTCTCATTTTAGCTCATTAACCGTTTTTGTTCTCAACGTCCTAATCCCTATCTAAATTACCAACCTCATTGTTAGTGCATCACGTCTTGTTCCTCGACTTTTGCAGCGACTGTTTGTACGGTCTCTCCTAGAGTAGTGAGGCCCCGAGTCAATTCACTGATGCTACCATTGATGTCCCGGGATAGGTTATAAACCCGTTTTTCGAGTGCTTTCAAGTCAGACAGTAGCTTTGGTCTCCGCGAACATGTTCACATGTGCTGTAGCGTTCGATTGATAGTACGTAGCTAGATCGTCGATGTCATATCTAAGTTTTTGGTCTATCCTGGATGTGGTGCTTCTTAGGGACGTCAGATTTGCCGAGAGACTGTCAAATTCAGCCCTCTCCACCTTTGTAGTTTTCAGGACTGCCACCTGGTCTGAAATGCTGGCAACAGCAAGCGTCGCGTTGTGTGCTACTGTGAACAAGTCTTGTATATCTACCTCTAATTCCCCTGTCGTGTATTCCAGCGTCTGAGACAGTTCGTCGGTGCTGTTTTGTAGGGTTGCCACACGTGAGACCAGAATTTCAAAGTTGCTCTGGTTGGCCTTGGTGGAGGCAAATATGGCGATAAATTCTTCCAGCTGATCGTGGTGGGTCTGGTTGAGTGCAGTGTTGGATAGCTCGTTCAGTTCCTGTCGTATATCTTTGTGTGCCTGTGTACTAACCTCTGCCAGCAGTGTTAGGTTGGCGGAGAGGACCACAAACTCAGCTCGGGAGGCTTTTTCTCTGTCCAGTAGTGAAAGTCTATCAGTGACCTCACTCACTGCCACTACGCTAGCCTTGGTAGCATTCAGAGTCACAATCGCTCCACCTGCGATGCTTAGTTCAGATTCTAACACCTCAATCCTGACGATTGCGTTGTGCAACTGTTCGTTTGTTGCGATCAGTTCTTCTTCCATTTTCTTTACCGCAGCCACGTGGTTTTCCTCCAAAAGCGATATCTTATCGGTGGCATTTTCCAGCTTCTCTTCGGCTATGTTGAGTGCCTGTTGCATTATCTCAAATGCTTCAAGGTGCTTGTGTTGTCTGTCTTCGGTGTCGCTCAGTTTCCGTTTCATGGCTCCCAGCTCGGCCGTAAAGTTGCTCTGGAGACTTTTGATTTGTTCCATGAGCGTGGTTTGGATACTGGTGTCTCCCAGTTGTGCATCTTGTGCCAGACTGGTGTCCGAGTCTTTCAGCTGTTGGTTCTGATGCTCCAAGTAGACGACTACCACGGCATCGTTTACGAGTACTATTAGGAATGCTATAACTGCTCCAATAGTCAGTGTTACTAGAAAGTGCTTGCAACTGGATCTCCTTGTTGCCGAGTACACTCTACTTCGACCCTCTGGCTGTTCTAATCCAAAAGCTTCTCTGTGTTGAAGATGATTAGTAGTTCAAGATGCGTGAAGCATGCATGGTGTACTACTCACCGTACTGATTCGATAGAACTTTCTTCTTCATTTCTATTTCTACCCAGTTTAAATCCTGTCCTGCATCGTAATTACAAAGTGGAATTAGTAGCAGTCAATGTAGTTTATTTGCCAATGTAGTTTACCTTGCCGAAGTTGGCTTAGTGTCTTTGTCTTTTGCTCTTCGAAACTTGAAACTGGAACTGCAGGGTTACAGTAGGTTTTAGTACTGAAAAGAGCTTTTGGTAGCATTTCACATGCATTTTACAGCTCTGAAACTTGCCTTGGTGTCAGCAGTTCACTGCTCCCCCCTTTTTCCTTGTCAACTGTTTTCTTGCTGCTCATTGCTCCAAACAGTAACTACTTGCTTTCTCGATATCTACAGACTAGTGTATGCGTTCACCCGCTGGGTAGCATTTATATACACACCTGTGTTGCTACTATTTGATGTCCCAAATATAGGGAGTACTACCATAATTGTGTTGTATATTGTGACAATACTGCAGAGTATTGTAATAAGCTGCGTATGTACATTACTGTACTTACTGGTGATGTTGGGAAAACATGTGTGTTGCTCATAGTTTCTCTGTGTTTGTCGCTGTGTAACTTGCCGTGTTTTTGGACGGTTCAACTGCTTTTTCCTTTGGGAGTTTTAGTTGTTTGTTAAACATCTCGTTAACTCTCAGTTTTCATGTGCAGTGAGAGGGTAAACGTACCTGTGAGAGGGTAAACATACACTGTTAAAATGGGGTGTTACGGCAACACCTTTTGGGGCGCCCGTGGGACTGTGCCAGTTTGGCACCCTTGGGGTGTTAGGGTGGGGTGTTAACCATCACCCATAAGAGTGTACAGGAACACCCTTTCTGGGGTAATGTACACCCATAAGAGTGTACAGGAACACCCTTTCTGGGGTAATGTACACCCATAAGAGTGTACAGGAACACCCTTTCTGGGGCAATGTACACCCATAAGAGTGCTATTTAGCCTTTCTATTGATGCTACAATACACCCTTTGGGGTGTTCATAAACATTTCATAGGGTGTTCGACAACACGCGGTTGGTGCTCTAGAGCGCTGTTCGTTGTTGCAGTAGCGCCATTGTTCTTACTGTTGAAGTGACAAAAATATTTCACAGTAAAAGAGCATGAGATACAAAGAGCAATGATACAGTAAAGAGCATAAGATAAAATATCTATTATCTAATGATGCTAGAGTCCTTTTGTCAGAAGTAACCACAGAGATGTAACCATGGTTTTCAGTGATTTTCTTCACAGCCTCATCAAGGTCAGGCTCATTCTATAACAACAGTTCGTCCATAGTTATGTACATGATATTATATATAATGTTGACTTACAGAAAACCGATGCATGATGCACAAGTGATATTTTTGCTCGAGGAGCAAGCAAACGCTCAGCTCAGTAAGCTCCAAAGAATGGATTATTTGCAGCAGCTGCAATCCTGTGAAGTGGGAAGAAAGATGTATGCATGCACCTCCAATACCACTATACATACTGGCATATAAATTATATTTTCACACTCACTTGACCAACTTGAAATATGAGAAGGAAGTGTACAGTACCGTGTATGCTCATCATTATGCATCAGGAGGAAATGAATTGACTTCTTCCTGCTGCTTTGAAAGGGCATCCCTATTGGTTTGTGACTCCAACTCTGCAAATATATAATTATACCAATCTTGGCAGATATCAATAAATCCTGCCAATTTCTTCAGCAATTTGAACTCCTATATAGCCTTTTAAATTCCTCTTCATAATTATTATGAAGAAATACCAACATCTGAAAGCATTGAAAATACCGATTGCATGACTCACTTTCAGCCCTACTGTTCTGATCTTCCCTCCCCTCGACTGCCATACTGGTACTGGAAGTAACAAAGTTATTTAAATACATGCTGGCCGCTCCTACTCTCTCCTTTCTCAATTCCCTCACGCGTCCGTCTGGAGAAAACGTCAGGAACACCAAGCACTAACCCAGGCTGTAGTACCTATCGCTGGTGCTGCTGCTGCTGGCTGTGATACTGGGCTCGGAGTAGCTGGAGTCAAAACAATTCAGCGCCGTCTTAGCAGCTACGTAGCTATGATCAGTCCTTACGTTTTCTTCGACGGGGTGACGCTACATCGAAATCTTCTATCGCGGCGTTCGTAGCCATGGTATTCGTCTGATGGTGGTCTTGGGCTCCAGAAAGCCTTTAAATACTGTAGCTTGAGTCGCAAAAAACACAGCCATAGAGATAGTCTACTTCTACTTGCATTTGAAAATGAGCGCGAACATGATGTCACTAACCACCGGTGTACGTGGGCGTGCCGGATGGTGGTAAAGGTCATGCTGCGCTGCAGACGACCTTCGACGCGCATGCGCAGTGGGTGTGACTCGTCTGTTTACTGTCATTCTCATTTACATTGACTATGATGCACAATGTCTCCAGCACAATATTTTTTTAAAGACATCTTCATGGTATTCACTCTCCTTATGAGGATCAAATTTTATCTCCATCATCAATTCTTCTTAATTAAATCACTTTCTCTTTCTTGCACCTACCGGTGTGTGAAACAATAAGAATTGAAGAGAATGTGATATGGGATGATGAAATTTTCTGACATTGCGTCCTATGAACAATAATTATTATTAAACAACAATGCACAAGGCATAGAAAGGAAGTTGTGATATAGGTGCTGGGTCAGTGTCGGATTACACCCTTAGGTGTTGTGGTGAGCACTAGAATGTGCCATGGTTTACTCTACACTCCAAGAGTGTTAGTAAACACCTACTTAGCATAATGAACACCCCTGAGGTCCTCCAATACACCCTGCCAGTTTTGTTACAGAAAATGGGGTGTTAGATAACACCATATTTTTAACAGTGTACCTGTGAGAGGGTAAATATACCTGCATCGTATGTGAACTAGCTATACACCGTTCCAAATAATGTGTTTATTGTATATTGTATATTGTAATGCGTTTATTGTAAATTTGATAGTGCTATAATCAATGTTAGTGAAATTAGCGTTTTTGGACGCTAATATGTGCAACATTGCTCATGCGCACAAATGTTTCTGCATGATAAGGACTGCAAGTTGCCAATTGGTAATGGTGTTAACAGAAGTAATTTTATAGGCATAAAATAATGAGGTGAGCTCTCATTATCAAAGGGTAATTAGTTTAGTTATTTTCTTCTATTAATAGGACATTCCTAGGTTGTTCTCAGGAACTTAATCTGTTTATTGGGTGTATGCCTATTTGCTAGTGTTTGTTACAACCTTTAGCTTGACAACCATAGTGTTGCACTAGTGTTGACTGATGTGCAGCGTAAGTACCAGTCCCTCGGCGCTGACTTCGGCCTGATTACATGTGTATCACAGCTAAAGTCTGACTGTCCTGCAACACACCCGCTTTCGTAGCCGATTGTAATATTATATGTACGCAGTTTGTGGAATTTTCTGCGCATATTATCCATTTTTGGGATATAAAGATATAATGACAATACAATAAGTTTGCCTATGCGGCCCAGGGGATAGTGACCAATGTCAGTGATACAGTGAGGGCTATCACCAGCTGTGATGGAGTCAGTCCTGATGTTGAGCTCTCCAGCGTAGTGATTTTCCCTGTGTTACTACTTATGCTGTCACTGTTGCTTCTGATATCAGAAGATAGCCTGTTATGGACTCCATCTGAAGTTGAACTGTAGCCTGATAGTTTGTCGTCGAGGCTTCTCAGCTCACTCTTTGTGGCAGTATTGCGTTCAAGACTATTCACTCTTCCCTGGAGTAGATTCAGATCTGCCTTGTCTGCCTTTCTTTCATCAATGTCTTCAACAGTATCTCTTAACACCTGGAAAGTGTCCTTGTCCACAGTCGATGCTTCGAAAGTTGAGACTCTATTGGATAATGTAGTAACGTCCTGTTGATCTGCTTTCGTTGAAAGTGTCATGTTCAAAGTTTGAATCCTTCCGTCAAAGTGGGTAAAGTTCATAGTGATGTTCCACTGAAGTTGGAGTATACTGTTTTGTATGCTTTCAACTCTCTGGAGGAAGGTTTGAGTCCTCACAGTGCTGCTGGCAAGAGCTTCCAAGTCAGTCTGTGAGGCTTTTGATGCTATGGCTTGGTGTAGTTCGTGATAGTGAGTCTGGTTGAGGGCACTGTCAGCTAGCTCGTCCAGCTCTTGTCGTATCTCCTCATCTGCTCTGGAACTTACTTTTGCTAGTGCAGAGACATTGTCTGAGAGCAATTCAAATTCTGTCAAATTTACTTTTTCTCTCTCGAGTTTCTTCACCTGATCATTCACGGTGTCTCTACTGGCTTTGGTGGAATTTAAAGACACTATGTCGCTCTCTATACGATTTCCCCTTGTTTCAAGAGTCACTGTCCTTTCTGTGATATTTGTGAGCCAGTCTTCCAAGTCTTGTACTGTCCCCTGAAGTGCTGAAGCTGTACTGTTCAGTTCCTGTCGTGTTAGTCCAAGGCTTGCTGAGAGCTCCTGGTGACCAATTTGCAATATAGATGTCGTGGTATTGAACTGCTGTTCTAATTCTGCTATATCTGCTCTAGCATTGTCAACCATCTCCGCCGTTAGATTGAGATCCTCTCTGACATCTATGAGTTCACTCTCTAACTCAGACACTCTTTCATGAGTGGTGTTTGTGGCTTCCAAAGATGATAGATTGGCCGAAAGGATTTCAACTTCTGTCCTGTCAGCTTTTTCTGTGTCCAGTTGAGCCACTTTGTCTGATAGCTCATTCACAGCCTCAATCCTGGCTTTGGTGGTGTTTAGTGAAGCAATACCACTTTCAACCCAGTCTACTCTCACTTCAGTCATCTCTGCTCTTCCTGTTGTGTTTGCGAGCTCCTCTTCTAAATCTTTTATCGTATCTTTAAATCCTGTAATGGTACTGTTTAACTCCTCCAGATCCATAGTAAGCTCCAGGTGGTTGTTTTCAAGTCTGGAAGTCTTGTTCTTATTACTGTTCAGCTCCTGTGTCAATTTCTGCTCTAGTTCACTGGTTTGACTTTGAAGAGTGAGTTCTACTCTGGTGGTATTTTCTTCCAAAGTTTGTGTTATCGTATGAAGTTCAGTCCTGGTAGCCTTATCTTCATTCAACTGCGCTAGCATGTGAGATACTTCAGTTACTGCCAACTTGCTAGCTTTTGTGGCATTTAGCAAGGCAACGACACTCTTTGTACTATTCAGTTCCACTTCTAGAGTCACTACCCTAGCCGCGGTAGTCTCTAGCATTCCTTCAAGGTCATTAACTCTGGCTTTCGTGGTGTTCAGTTCATCTGCTGTGTGCCTGAGATCTGTAGACAGCTGCTCGTGACTTGCTTCCAGTGTGGATGTCTTGGATTTGGTACTGTTCAATTCCCGTTGCAACTCTGCTATCATTTCTAAAGAACTCTCCAGTTCCTTTCCTTTTGTGCTCAACTCTAGTTGTGTGTCATTCAGCTGTTTTTCAAGCTGCGTGGATTTTTCGATGGTGTCCGTTAGTGTTGATTGAAGCTTTGAGAGCAGAGAGAGCGTATCGATTGTGTTTTTCTCCAATTGTTCTATTCTCTCCAGCACACTTTCATGGTCAGAATCTATTGATTCAATCTTCTTGCTGTGTAGCCCAACAAGTATGGCCAGTACTATGATTGCAAGTATCAGTACTACTGTCACAACTGAGCACACGATAAACTGCCTCCTTCCATTTTTCTCTGGAACACCGTGTGACCTAATAATTGTTGTTATAAAGGCAATATTACCACAGTAGCATGCACTGTAACATTGGAATACTTTACCCTGTTTGTGATTCTTGATCACTCTTACGCTTCATTTTATCATCGGCCATTTTGCTTGCTACTAACTTCTACTAGATGGCAATGTGTTTATAAGTGCTAATGTTATAATATTAAGGGTCTTTCCCTATAGATTTCCCTTCCAGGGCAGATTTCGCTGGTTATAAGCCACGAATACGAGTAAACATAGATGTTTACGCACTTGGCGGTATGTGTTTAGTTCTATTTTATTCATTGAGACAGGATTTTACCGTGAGGTTCAGAGTTCAGAGTTCATGCTTTTCTACACAGCTGTGTATCAGAGGAGGTTGGAAGATGATGTGTGGAGCTACTCCCATACCTACCTACCATCCTGCTTTTTGCTTGATAATCAAGCAAAAATACTGCCTATCCCTCCAAAAAAATCGCCAAATCCCTCTTTTTTGTGCTAACCTGTGATGCATCATGCCTATACATTTTGAATGGACACAAAGCATTTTCAAGCAAAAATACTCCAAATCAAGCAAATTTGACACATTTCTCAAGCAAAGGTTCACCAGGTTGGTAGGTATGTACTCCTTACAAATTCACTTTTACTTACAGCCGGGTGTTGTTGCGTGCACAAAAGGCTGTGGAAACTAGTCATTTCAAGACCCATACCCCTCCGCATAGCCTGAAAAGTTCCTTCAAAGGAGGGGGCGTGGCTCAGTTGGCAGGGTCATACATGGGGTGTATGAAATTTGCTTGCAGCTGGCACTATCTGCACTTAGCAGAGGATTTTCTGTTAAGGGCGCTGTGACATGGGGTGGCCCATGTAGAAGCAATCAGGGGATGTTAAATCTGGTTGGTCCATATCCAGTCATATTTCCATGTCATGGTACACGTGCATAATATTATCTCTCGTTTCTTGCTGTTTCCACCTCTGCTTTCCAGTGTCGGCCAAAAAGGTGGCCATCAGTAGAATATTGACTACGATTATGCTTGGTTCACAATAATTATGTCACATTGCCGCGTCGTACCGCGAAGCGTGAACCTAGCCTAATACACTTATTCACAATTAGTATGGAATTTTTCCTGTTATTCATGGTTCTTTCCCAGGAAATTCCCCATGTCTGCTATTTTGGGAGCTGACATCATAGATTTAGCTGTTTTCCTTGTTTCAGGCCAGTATAACAGTGCCAAAATTAATTGGTTACCCAATAAGCTTGAGTAGCAACTTTAATGCGATCACGCTGCAAAGTGTAACTTGGTTTATGATGGCTAAAACTTAACAATAAAACATTCAATGGTTAAGAGGGCAATAAAAATGATACATGTATATGATAGGAATAGTACGTACACACAGTCTGATTTGGTCAGTATGAGGCCCAGCGGACCAATGATACAGTGAAGGCTATCACCAGCTGTGATGGAGTCAGTCCTGATGTTGAGCTCTCCAGCGTAGTGATTTTCCCTATGTTGTCACTTATGCTGTCAGTGTTGCTTCTGATATCAGAAGATAAAGCTCTGTGTGTGTGGCCTGAAGTTGAACTGTGGTCTGATAGTTTGTTATCCAGGTTGCGCAGCTCACTCTTTGTGGCAGAATCAGTTTCAAGGTCATACACCCTTCCCTGGAGTAGGTACACATATGTTTTATCTGCCTTTCTTTCATCGATGTCTTCAACAGTGTCTCTTAACTCCTGGAAAGTGCCCTTGTCCACAGTCGATCCTTCGAGAGTTGTGACTCTATTTGATAATGTAGCAACGTCCTGTTGGTCTGCTTTCGTTGGAAGTATCGCATTCAAAGTTTGAATCCTTCCGTCAAAGTGGGTAAAGTTCAGAGTGATGTTCCACTGAAGTTGGAGTATACTGTTTTGTATGCTTTCAACTCTCTGGAGGAAGGTTTGAGTCCTCACAGTGCTGCTGGCAAGAGCTTCCAAGTCAGTCTGTGAGGCTTTTGATGCTATGGCTTGGTGTAGTTCATGATAGTGAGTCTGGTTGAGGGCACTGTCAGCTAGCTCGTCCAGCTCTTGTCGTATCTCATCTCCTCATCTGCTCTGGAACTTACTTTTGCTAGTGCAGAGACATTGTCTGAGAGCAATTCAAATTCTGTCAAATTTACTTTTTCTCTCTCGAGTTTCTTCACCTGATCATTCACGGTGTCTCTACTGGCTTTGGTGGAATTTAAAGACGCTATGTTGCTCTCTATACGATTTCCCCTCGTTTCGAGAGTCACTGTCCTTTCTGTGACATTTGTGAGCCAGTCTTCCAAGTCTTGTACCGTCCCCTGAAGTGCTGAAGCTATACTGTTCAGTTCCTGTCCTGTTAGTTCAAGGCCTGCTGAGAGCTCCTGGTGGCTAATTTGCAATATAGATGTCGTGGTATTGAGCTGCCGTTCTAATTCTGCTATATCTGCTCTAGCATCGTCAACCATCTCCGCCGTTACATTGAGTTCCAGTGTGGGGATCTCGGCTTTGATACTGTTCAACTCCCGTTGCAATTCTGCTATCATTTCTAAAGAACTCTCCAGTTCCTTTCCTTTTGTGCCCAACTCTAGTTGTGTGTCATTCAGCTGTTTTTCAAGCTGCGTGGATTTTTCGATGGTGTCCGTTAGTGTTGATTGAAGATTTGAGAGCATATCGGTTGTGTTTTTCTCAAATTGGTAAATACTCTCCAGGTCAGTCTCTATTGATTCAATCTTCTCGTTGTGTATCCCAACAGATATTGCCCATGCGACCAGTGCACTAAGTGGCAGTACTATAAATGCCTGTACTACTGTCATAACTAAGCACACAATAAACTGTCTCTTACTTGCATATATCACTCGAACATCGTCTGACCTAATTATTAGTATAACTATTATAATGCTTACCACAGTAGCACGCACCATGACAATACGATTTTACCTCTGTGGTTCTTGCTCACTGTCACACTTCTCTTCTTCCCCAACTGGATAGTTCGTTTCAACATCGCCCATTTTGCTTGCTACTAACTTCTACTAGATGCCAATGTGTTTATAAGTGCTAATGTTATAATATTAAGGGTCTTTCCCTATAGAACCTCCTTCCAGGGCAGATTTCGCTGGTTATAAGCCATAATTATGAGTAAACATAGATGTTTACGCACTTGGCGGTATGTGTTTAGTTCTGATTTCTTGCATATTCATTGAGACAGGAGTTTACCGTGAAGTTCAGAGTTCATGCTTTTCTACATAGCTGTGTAGCTATCAGAGAAGGTTGGAAGATGACATAGGCAAGTCAGATTTATGGAGCTACTCATTACAAATTCACTTTTACAGCCGAGTGTTATTGCGTGCACAAAAGGCTGTGGAAACTAGTCATTTCAAGACCCATACCCCTTCGCATAGCCTGAAAAGTTCCTTCAAAGGAGGGGGCGTGGCTCAGTTGGCAGGGTCATTCATGGAATGTATGAAATTTGCTTGCAGCACAGGAATGAAAGGTACTGCTTGTTGGCACTATCTGCACTTAGCAGAAGATTTTCTGTTAAGGGCGCTGTGACATGGGGTGGCCCATGTAGAAGCAATCAGGGGATGTTAAATCTGGTTGGTCCATCAGTCATATTCCATGTATGGTACATGTGCATAATATTACTCTCGTTTCTTGCTGTTTCCACCTCTGCTTTCCAGTGTCGGCCAAAAAGGAGGCCATCAGAAGATATTTACTACAGATTAGGCTAGGTTCACAATAATTATGTCACATTGCCGGGTCATGCCACGAAGCGTGAACCTAGCAACACACAACACACACCCCACCCCCAAAACAACCCACAAACACAACCACAAAAACCCACCACCACCCGGTATGCACGAAGCGTGAACAAGCCTAATACACTTACTATGAATTTTTCCTGTTATCATGGTTCTTCCAGGGACCACTCCCACTGTCTGTTTTTCCTTCTATTATGGAGCTGACATCATAGATTTAGCTGTTTTCCTTGTTCTCACGGCCATTGTGTAACCGTGTGCCAAACTAATCTGGTACCCATAAGCTTGAAGTGAGTAGCAACTTAACATGCGTGATTTCTACGTCACGCTGCAACTGTGTAACTGGTTTATGATGGCTCAAACTTAACAATCAAAACACTGCAATGGTTAGAGGGCAATAAAACATGATTCACATGTATAATGGTTTTAACTGATAGGAATAGTACGTAACACACAGTCTGATTTGGTCAGTATGAGGCCCAGCGGCAATGATACAGTGAAGGCTATCGCCACTGTGAGGAGTCACGTCCTGATGTTGAGCTTCCAGCATAGTGATTTCCCTGTGTTGTTCACTTATGCTGTCAGTGTTGTTCCGATATCAGACGATAAGCTCTGTGTGTTTGTCCTGAAGTTGAACTGTGGTCTGAAGTTTGTTATCCAGTGCGCAGTCCTCTTTGGCAGAATAGTTCAAGTCATAACCCTTGGAGTAGGTAAAATATGTTTTATCTGCCTCTCATCGATTCAAGTGTCTCTTAACTCCGGAAAGTGCCCTGTCACAGTCGATCTTAGAGTTGGACTCTATTTGAAGAGCAACGTCCTTTTTGCTCGGGAAGTATCGCATTCAAAGTTTGAATCCTTCCGTCAAAGTGGGTAAAGTTCAGAGTGATGTTCCACTGAAGTGGGAGTATACTGTTTGTATGCTTTCAACTCTCTGGAGGAAGTTGGGATGTCCTCACAGTGCTGCTGCCAGAGCTTCAAGTCAGTCTGTGAGCTTGTGATGCTATGGCTTGGTGTAGTTCATGATAGTGAGTCTCGTGGAGGGCACGGTCAGCTAGCTCATCCAGCTCTGGTCGTATCTCCTCATCTACCCTGGAACTAACCTCTGCCAGTGTAGTGACATTGTCCGAGAGCATCAATTCTGTCCAATGGACGTTTTCTCTCTACGAGTTCTTCATCTGATCATTCACTGGTGTCTCTACTGGCTTGGTGGAATTAAGAGAGCTATGTGCCTCTCTATATGATTTCCCTCGTTTCGAGAGTCACTGTCCTTTCTGTGACAGTTGTGAGCAGTCGTCCAAGTCTTGTACTGTCCCTGAAGTGCTCTGAAGCTGTGTACTGTTCAGGTCCGTGTCCTGTAGTCAAGGCCTGCTGAGAGCTCTGGTGGCTAATGTGCAATATAGATGTCGCGTGTATGAGCTGCCGTCTAATTTCGCTAGATCTGTCTCTAGCATCGTTCAACCTCTCCGCCGTTACATGAGTTCAGTGTGGGGATCTCGGCTTTAGATACTGTTCAACTCCGTTGCAATTCTGCCATCATTTCTAAAGAACTCTCCAGTTCCTTTCTTTGTGCCCAACTCTGTTGTGTGTCATTCAGCTGTTTGTCAAGCTGGTGGATTTTTCGATGGTGTGTCCGTTATGTTGATTGAAGATGAGAGAGCATATCGTTGTGTTTTTCTCAAATTGTAAATACTCTCCAGGTCAGTCTCTATTGATTCAATCTTCGTTGTGTATCCCAACAGATATTGCCCAGGACCAGTGAGTAGCTACTGTACAAACTAAGCACACATAAGTCTCTTACTTGCAATATCACGCGAACATCGTCTGACCTATATTAGTATAATTATTATAATGCTTACCACAGTAGCAGCACCATGACAATAAGATTTTACCTCTGTGGTTCTTGCTCACTGTCACACTTCTCTTCTTCCCAACTGGATAGTCGTTTCAACACGCCATTTTGCTTGCTACTAACTTCTACTAGATGCCAATGTGTTTATAAGTGCTAATGTTATAATATTAAGGGTCTTTCCCTATAGATACCTCTTCCAGGGCAGATTTCGCTGGTTATAAGCCATAATTTGAGTAAACATAGATGTTTACGCACTTGGCGGTATGTGTTTAGTTCTGATTTCTTGCATATTCATTGAGACAGGAGTTTACCGTGAAGTTCAGAGTTCATGCTTTTCTACATAGCTGTGTAGCTATCAGAGAAGGTTGGAAGATGACATAGGCAAGTCAGATTTATGGAGCTACTCATTACAAATTCACTTTTACAGCCGAGTGTTATTGCGTGCACAAAAGGCTGTGGAAACTAGTCATTTCAAGACCCATACCCCTCCGCATAGCCTGAAAGTTCCCCTTCAAAGGAGGGGGCGTGGCTCAGTCGGCAGGGTCATACATTGAATGTATGAAATTTGCTTGCAGCACAGTAACGAAAGGTACTGGTTGTTGGCGCTATCTGGACTTAGCAGAGGATTTTCTGTTAAGGGCGCTGTGACATGGGGTGGCCCATGTAGAAGCAATCAGGGGATGTTAAATCTGGTTGGTCCAAACTATCCAGTAATATTTCCATGTCATGGTACATGTGCATAATATTTATTACCTCTCGTTTCTTGCTGTTTCCACCTCTGCTTTCCAGTGTCGGCCAAAAAGGAGGCCATCAGAAGAATATTTACTACGATTAGGCTAGGTTCACAATAATTATGTCACATTGCCGGGTCATGCCACGAAGCGTGAACCTAGCGATTAGGCTAGGTTCACAGTATGTCACATTGCTGTGTCATGCCGTGCCGGGTCACTTCACCCCTTAGGAAATTGCATACCTCACATGACATCACAACTCCATGCTATAAATACCCCACTGTGCATCGTCGTGCCGTGCCGGGTCATGTCACGAAGCGTGAACCTAGCTTATTCACACTTACTATGGAATTTTTCCTGTTATTCATGGTTCTTTCCCAGGAAATTCCCCATGTCTGTTTTCCTTCTATTTTGGGAGCTGACATCATAGATTTACCTGTTTTCCTTGTTTCAGGCCAGTATAACAGTGCCAAAATTAATTGGTTACCCAATAAGTCCTTAATTGAGTAGCAACTTTAATGCGATCACGCTGCAAACTGTAACTTGGTTTATGATGGCTCAAACTTAACAATAAAACATTCAATGGTTAAGAGGGCAATAAAAATGATACATGTATATATGGTTAACTGATAGGAATAGTACGTACACACAGTCTGATTTGGTCAGTATGAGGTCCAGCGGACCAATGATACAGTGAAGGCTATCACCACCAGTGATGGAGTCAGTCCTGATGTCGAGCTCTCCAGCGTAGTGATTTTCCCTGTGTTGTCACTTATGCTGTCAGTGTTGCTTCTGATATCAGAAGATAGCCTGTCATGAACTCCATCTGAAGTTGAACGGTGGCCTGATAGTTTGTCGTTGAGGCTTCTCAGCTCACTCTTTGTGGCAGTATTGCGTTCGAGACTATTCACTCTTCCCTGGAGTGGATTCAGATCTGCCTTGTCTGCCTTTCTTTCATCGATGTCCTCAACAGTGTCTCTTAACTCCTGGAAAGTGTCCTTGTCCACAGTCGATCCTTCGAGATTTGAGACTCTATTGGATAATGTAGTAACGTCCTGTTGATCTGCTTTCGTTGAAAGTATCGCATTCAAAGTTTGAATCCTTCCCTCGAAGTGTGAGGCGTTTGATGCTATCGCTTGGTGTAGTTCGTGATAGTGAGTCTCATTCAGTGCACTGTCGGCTAGCTCATTCAGCTCTTGTCGTATCTCCTCAAGTGCAGTGGAACTTGTCTCTGCTAGAAATGACAGGTTGGTGGATAGAACTTCAAACTCGCTTCTGTCAACTTTGTCTCTGTCTAGTAGTCCAATTTGATCATTCACAGTCTCTGTGCTGGCTTTGGTGGCGTTTAGGAAGGCAATGCTTCTCACTATGCTTCTCAGCTCCAGTTCAGTGGCGGCAGTGGTTCTTGTAAGCTCTTCTTCCAATGTCTCTATCTTTCTTTGCAACACCGAAGTTGTATTTTCGTGAATTTCTCGCACTGTCTCTTCCATCTGTGTATTCTGCCTTTCCCACTCTGCAATTTTATCGCTGTTTTCGTCAATCTTTCGTTTAAGCTCTAAATTTTTTGCTTTTTCGTGCTGAAGTTCGTTTTCAATAGTCTCAATGTGTTCCTGCAGGTCCTTTACTATTGATTTGAGTTCGTTCATCTTTGCAGTGGAGTTAGCCTCATACCATTTGAACTGTTCGTATAGTCTTCCATCGCTTGCCATCATCTGGTGTTCCAGCCCTGCTTCTATCGAAGCAATCTTCTCGTTTTGTCCGTTAATGATAGGAGCTACCCATACACAGGCGATTAACAGGGAAAGCAGGATTATACACACTGCAACATCCAGGTATGTTTTATAATCTCGTCTGATTTTTTTATTGACTTGAGCTGGCTCAGCAGCACTGCTGGACCTGAAAGTTGATAGTATAAAACTCTTATCAACGTATTTCTGGAGCATCTGCTGTTCTACTAGGCTGTAGCTATGCATGCCTGAGTAAACTCTTAATGCAAAGCCTACCTTTTGGTTTCTATCTCAGTTGTCTCAGCCTCAGCTGCCTCCTTTTCTTTTGCTGCTTCCATCTCCATTCCTTCCTTCTTCTCCATCTCTTGCACTAATCCTTACTGCAAGTATAGCGGCAAGTATGGAGTATTTATGTTTGGCACGGACTACCAGTAGGGACTTCCCCGGTGAATTCCCCCAGTTAGATGGGGTTTTACCAGGGACTTTTCTATCAATGGGCACTGATGCAAGGTGCTCAATTGTGTAGAACACAAAGTGTGTGCTGTGCATTCTTTGACCTAATGCATTATGTGTTGTCTATTTGGAGATGTCCAGCTCTAACTTGGCCATAATGATTAGAGTAGATGTGACGTAACTACGTTTCGTGAATATTATTAACCCTTCATTCATGTGCATGTACCAAGCCATCTGTCACGCTACATCAGAGGGACAGAAATTATGACGTGATTGTATTGCTGACTCAGGTGCATAGACAATGTATGGGATCCTCCAGTATGGCCGTTTCCCTCTAACTGAATCAACATGGCAGTGTCGGCACCTAGCCACCCGTTTCTTATAGATACATTTGTAGATCTTGCTGCGAGCTCTGGCAAACAACGCTTGGTTAGTGAGAAATAGCATAAAGCAATTTTTCAACACCCTTTACTCACAAACTCCACTAGTGTTTGAATAACTGTCTAAAAGCATGCTAGTACGTTTTGCCACTAACCATGACTGTTTGTTGTTGTGTTGTTTCACTATGGTTTCAATGGAGAATTAATTTTGTAATTTCCTAAAGGGTGCAGTGGAAGCATTCGTTTTTCACATGCTTGTGTAGTGATATTTTGTTGCTTTTGATTGTGGCACACATGTAAAAAAAGCAGTAATACAGAATAAAAAGTGAGTTTTTTGATTTTATGATTAAAAATGTCCATTATTCTTAAGTGGAACATGTGTCAAGGTTTTATGTATGTATAGTGGTTCAAGATGGGATTGAAATATGATTGTCAGTAGGGATTTGGGAACCAGGGGATAGTGACTAGTGTCAGTGATACAGCGAGGGCTATCACCACCAGTGACGGAGTCAGTCCTGATGTCGAGCTCTCCAGCGTAGTGATTCTCCCTGTGTTGTCACTTATACTGTAGCTGTTGCTTCCGATACTAGACGATAGCCTGTTATGAACCCCATCTGAAGTTGAACTGTGGTCTGATAGCTTGTTTTCCAGGTTGTTCAGCTCACTATTTGTGGCAGTATTGCGTTCGAGACTATACACTCTTCCCTGGAGTGGATTCAGATCTGCCTTGCCTGCCTTTCTTTCATCGATGTCTTCAACAGTGTCTCTTAACTCCTGGAAAGTGCCCTTGTCCACAGTCAATCCTTCGAGAGTTGTGACTCTATTTGATAATACTGTAACGTCTTGTTTGTCTGCTTTTGTTGAAAGTGCCGCATTCAAAGTTTGAATCCTTCCATCAAAGTGGGTAAAGTTCAGAGTGATGTTCCACTGAAGTTGGAGTATACTGTTTTGTATGCTTTCAACTCTCTGGAGGAAGGTTTGAGTCCTCACAGTGCTGCTGGCAAGAGCGTCCAAGTCAGTCTGTGAGGCTTTTGATGCTATGGCTTGGTGTAGTTCGTGAAAATGAGTCTCATTCAGTGAACTGTCAGCTAGCTCATTCAGCTCTTGTACAATATCCTGGTCCATTCTGGAACTGGCCTCTGCCAGTGAGGACAAGTTAGCCGCGAGCACTTCAAATTCACTGTCCAGTATTCCCAACTTGTCATTCACAGTATCTTTACTTGCCTTTGTATCGTTCAGGGAGTCAATGTCACTTTCAACATCGTTCAACTTCATTTCGAGAGTGGACGTCCTTCCTGTTGTTTTTGCTAGTCTCTCCTCCAAGTCTTCTCTAGCGTCTTCCAATGCCGACGTTTTGTTATACAGCTCTTCTCTTGCGAGCCTCAGATCCAAAGAGAGCTCCTCGTGACTTGCTTCCAGTGACGATGTCCTGTTTACAGTAACGTTGAGCGTGATTCCCAACTCTACTGTTTCGGCTACCGTTTTTTCGAGTCTCTCTTCCGCTGCATTCAGTTCCCCTCTGGTGTCTTCAAGTTCACTCTCGATATCTGATACTACCCCCCGAGTGTGGCGTATAACCTCTACCAGTGCTGTTACATTACTTGAAACAATCTCAAGCTCTGTCCTGTTAGCTTTCCCTGCGTCAAGTAGATCTACTTTCCCTCTTAGCTCATCTAACGTCACTCTATTGGCCTTGGTAGTGTTGAGAGAGGCCACGCCACTCTCCAAGCTACTTACTCTCATACCAGTAGTGACTGTCTCTGCTGTAGTGTTTGCCAGCCCTTCTTCCAAGTCTTGAACCCTGCCTCGTAGTGCTAAAGTCGACCTGCTCAGCTCCAGGTATACTGCCTCCAGTGTTGACACTCTGTCCACGGTCGTGTTGTGTTCCTGCTCAAATAGTTCGGCCCTGGCCAACGCATCCTCCAGCAGCCTTTCCTTTTCCCTCAGTCTGTCTGCCAGTTCAGTTATCCGTGCGGTGTAGATTTTCTCCAGTTGTTCAAACTCCCCCCTCAGTGTTTCTTGGTTTGTTGCCATCTCGCTGGTCAACCTTTCTTCTATCGAAGCAATCCTGTTGTTTTGTGAGATCACAACTGGTACGACCCATAAGACAGTTATTATCAGGGAAAGTAGCGTCACAATCACCGTAACAGCCAGGTACGTGTTGAATTTTTGTCCGATTTTCTTCTTCATTGGTATCAGCCAGTGAACTGGCTCACCTGAGCTGTTTCCCCTAAAAATTGAATATGAATGCAGCAGTTTTAGCTACCATCATACGAGCAAGACCTGTTTTAGGTAGAGAACAAGTGATGCTAGAGAAAACAGGCTACACTCTGGGGAGCTGTTTCTGGCTTGCTAGCCTTCATCAGCCGAGCAAACCCCAATCTCTTACTATCAAGACATCAGAGTCCATGAGTTTCTCCATGCAATGTGAACACACTTTATGATAGTGGTTTACATTGCTTCATGAACTAGCAGAAATATTATAGCATACCTTTCTGGCTCTGGGTCCAGCTCAGATGTGGTAGCCCCTGCTGCCTTTTTTGCTGCCTGGTTCTCAGCCCCTTCTGTGCTCCCTTCACAACTCATCTTTGTCTGATAGATCCTTGCTGATGCAAGCAGAGGGCTAAGTTTGCTATTTATGGGATACCCCAGGTAAATCCCCAGGGACTTCCCCTCTGCTTGTTGTTCCATGCCAAGTTTGCTATGCTTTCATAATGCAATATGTGCAGGTGGCACTACCTATTGTGGTTGAAGCGGATGCATGGAGCAGTACACAGAGCAGCAGTACATGGAGCGTAGGCTTTCAAAACCCTGTATTGTAGGCAGCACTGGGTGCATATGTTGCGCATTTCCTACACCTTAGTTGTGTTTTCTTTTCTTTCTCACACTCGCATACCTCTTTCCTTCTCTCTCCCCGCTTCCTCCTCCTTTCTTCCCCTTCCACTCTCGTACTCCCCCACCCCCACACACACACCCAACATACACACCTCTCTCCTTTTCCTCCCCCCTCCCTCTCCCTCCCTCTCCCAGTTAATGAGAGACCTTGGAGCCAGAGAGCTAATGTTTACGTCTGACGGTCAGTACAGGATCTCAGAGAGCCTCAGAATGAAGCCACACAGAGACGTAGTACACACTCTCAACTACCAGAACGCACACGACAACCCTCTCCAGAGACTCAAGAGAGAAGCTGTGAGGCCCAGTGCATCTTGGGGGGAACCCTGTAGTAATTATTGTAGTGATGTCCTGCATGCACTGTATGTAGAATTTGTTGTTAGGCTTTAAACATTCATGCATTTTGTAAAAGCTTGCAGAAGTACCTAGTTTACCTAGTTTCCCGTACGTGTTGAATTAGCACGAGTGGCGTACTAAAACCAAAGAACGCAATCTCTTTCGTGAATTTTTTTTGCTGTCACAAACGTTTTTAGCCATCCGCTCATGTACATACTTCTGTCTGTTAACTTCCTCCCTCTCTCTCTCTTCTCCTCTCTTCCTGCTCAGCCCCACCATCCACTAATGGTGATGGAGTTCTGGACAGGCTGGTTCGACCACTGGGGTGAGAAGCATCTGGAGAGGAACATATCCCCCGAGGACTTCTCTCTTGAGCTGCGGGCCATCCTGGCAGAGGGAGCCTCCGTCAACCTGTACATGTTCCACGGAGGGACTAACTTTGGATTCATGAACGGAGGGAACTGGGGAGAAGGGGAGGAGAGAGGGAGGACGTATCGCTCCACTGTCTCCAGCTATGGTACACTGAGGTCTAGGGATTATTGCCGATCTGAGCGAGCCCACCTAGTTGTCCTAATGCGGGAATCTATCTATCTTTATGTACATGTTGTGACATGCACCGCTGCACTGCACTTAATGCTATACGTGATTCTAAATACGTGCAAAACACAAGCGAAAAATGGTATTTTGTATGTATGTTCAGCCAGCATGTCACTTGGCCATCACTGGCTGGCAAAGTTGGTATACTTGTGGTAGAAGTGTCCTTAGTCTAGGCTGTTTTTACCCCTGGTTTTGGTCACCACTCCGTTCTTCCCACACTACTAGCAGTCAGTAAACAACGTAATACGGAAATCGCTTACAGCATGCACATGGGACATATTTATACATACACAATGTGTGTGTGTGTGTACTCGAGGTGCTATGCTATGTTGGGTTTGTGTTGTGTATGCTGCATTTACTTTCAGAGTTTAGTGTTTATCCAGCATAGGACCAATGCTACCAGCTTGACCTTTACAATCTACATGCAATAGAGACTCTTTGGCTCCTATGCTGTAGCCTTGCTACCAATATGCAAATTAATGACATAAGCCACAGCGAACCATACATCTGGGAACCTTCGCACGTACTAAGCACTCTGGCACTGCGTTAAGGAAGCTATCATGTCTGACAAACTTAACTGCATTTCATTTAGCCTACTGGCCATGATCAACCATTCCCATTGATTCTCTTCTCTCTCTGTTGTTTGGACAGACTACGACGCCCCCCTCAGTGAGTGGGGCTCGGTGACTAAGAAATACCTGGAGCTCCGTAACCTCCTGGTTGAGACTGTGCCAGAGTCTCTCTCCCTCAACCCTCTCCCTCCCCTCCCTCTCTCAGTCCCCACTGCCGACTATGGAGAGATTAAGATGACGCTCTACATATCCCTGCTCAGTACTCTGCAGTATGTTCCAGTGAGCTCCCTACACGTGCACATACACAGTTCAGTTTACAGTGCTGTTTTGTACAGCATAAGATCGATTGTGTTTTTTGCGCTGCACATGCTTTGCATTCATACCTCACTTACGGTTCATGCATAGGTAGTCATGCATCATGTGTAATGCACAGGAACATTTGACAACTGTATAATGACTGCTACTACACTATACACAGTTGTTGTAGAAAGTTACAAAGTCCCCAGTAATGAAGTTTGTATCCAATCAAGCATGTAACTTACTCCTACATATATGTACTCCTACGTAGCAATTCATGCCTTCAGGGCCCTCATGTACATGACTGCATAGAATACCAACCCATCGATTATTGCTCATCACAGGAGCCCCATACATCTGGTACCCCAATCCCCATGGAGTTTCTGCCTCTCAACAAATGGAGTGGTCAGGGCTTTGGCTACATTCTCTACAGAACCTTCGTCCCTTCCTCTGCCTCCTCTCTCACCATACACGGCCTCAAGGACTATGGACTTGTACGTATGTGCTACTCCATGCCAATTGTGCTTGGTCTCTTTCAGTGTTGTTAGTAGTCAGAAAGACATCTAACATACTGCACCTGTAGCAGCATTTTGAGAGAGAAAGCAAGCATTCGCTAGCAGATTGCCTAGGCAAAAACCTCTCACACGTGTACTCTGAGGTTTAAGAAAGTATAAAGTGTGCATTAATTAGAATAGTCCCAGAAAAGTAGCGCTGAGGTTTAAAGTGTGATATCTCTGAGCGGATCAGCGGGAGCTGCTCTCACGCGTTTTGGCTCAATCAACAACTGGTCAGTACAGCACGTGGATGATGATGAAATGCATGCATTCTCAGAAGGATGACTATAATACTATCGTGATCACACAGTGATGGATACATGCAGCTAGTCACACAATGCCTCCATATGGGAAGTACACCATGTACACTACAGCATGCATGCATTGACAATATACAATGCATGATACATGGTACTATAGGACATGCACTTACACAGTGCACAATACATTACCCATACACATTACACAATGCACAATACATTACCCATACACATTACACAATGCACAATACATTACCCATACACATTACACAATGCACAATACATTACCCATACACTATATCAAGTATTCTCTCTCCCTCCTGCCAAGTGTATTTCTTCTGTCGACAGTAGAAGTAGAATACAGGCTACTTCTCTTCTGTTGCGTCTAGTCCTCTGTTATACCTCACCAGGTGTAAAGCCCACATAATTATGTCTTTATTGTCACTAAAAGTGTACATGCTTTTACATGTCTGCACAGGTGATGCTGGACTTGAAGCCAATCAGAGAAGTTGGTTACTTTGATAAGGTCACCATCAGTCTCCCGTCCCCTTCCTCTCAGGTACAATCGCTTGTACACCCGAAACATTCGTTTATTATTCCATGATGACAGGGTCTCCCCTCGAGGCAGCTGGACATCCTGGTAGAGAATGGAGGGCGAGTCAACTTTGGTCATCCTCTGGCTGTGAGGAAGGGCATCTCTGGCTCTGTGGTGGTCGACGGCGTGACGCAAGCCAACTGGAAGATCTACTCCTTCGAATTCAAAAACTCATTCATTCAGAAGTACATACATACCTAATGGCTCTAAATTACTAACTTTTATAGCACAGTGGTTTGATGGTTGCCTAATTGGTATTGCGTTGTGTTGTGTTGTAGATTCGAACCCCTACCAGCTGAGTTGCCCTGGTAGCTCAGCTGGTAGAGCCCTTGCCTAGTAGAGTGCAGGGTGGAATCCCACGTAGGGGAGCTCTTTTTTCCGTCCAAAAAGGAGTTGTCACGGGTGTCGTTATGTTGTTTTGTTGGATTTGAGATCTCGTTGTTGATACTTGTTTGCCTCCCACGTAGACTTTCAATCCACCTCGAAACAGAAAATTGACTGACATTATACCATGATGCCCTGCGTTATTTACATGTATATAGATGCTCATAGTATGTATAGACTATATGCTCTCAGTAGTGTGATGGTGATCCCCTGCAGTATTGACAGAGGAGGGGTGTGGCTGAGAACTCCAGCCAAGGAGGACTCTGGTCCTGCCCTCTTCAAAGGCTCATTCACCATCGATGGTACCCCCAAGGACACCTTCATTGACATGCAGGTCCATAATACTAATAGACAGCGAGTATACATAGGAAAGGGTAATGAAGGTATTCAACATGCTTCTCAACACGAATGGACTCTAGATCATATTATTATGTATGTAGTTCTAATTCATGTGCTATAATATATGCTGTATGTATCAGGGTTGGAATAAAGGAGTTGTGTTTGTGAACGGAGCTAACCTCGGTCGCTACTGGATGAAAGGTCCTCCTGGATCTCTGTATGTCCCTGCTCCCCTCCTCTCTCAGGGAATCAACAAAGTCAGTCTACCACACTACAATTAAGACTAGAGTGTGATATCTCTTTTTTGTTGTGAGTGAGCGCGAGAATTTCAATATTTCATGCATGTTTTGCACTTATTTAGAATCACGTGCAACATTGCAGTAGTGCAGTGCCCGTGGAGTGCCCGTCACATATTATAAAGAATATGGAAAATTCCCCCATTGAAACGACTAGGTAGGCTGGCTTTGCTCGCCAATTTTTGCTGTCTCATCCGTTTAGTTCTGCTGCATATCTATGTAGACTCTTTATAGGGATGGCGTGGGTGCACATGAGTAAAGAAAAACACTCAAACACATTCTGTGCACGTTTTTCTAGGGCATCTGCATGTATATACGTTATATGGTAGAATGTTAGTAAACCTTCAGAGTGCACATTAGTAACATAAACATAGAATATGGATGGCACAGACCCTTTTGTGTGTTGGGGTAAGCACAGATAACTGTGTGTGTGTAAGGTTGATAAACATGGAACGTAGTGATAGTTCAGCCTCCTTGTATTATACGAGTGTAATCCACAGAATGTTAAAGTCAAGGCTGTTTGTTACTCAGCTCCCGTACCTCTCACTGACTGCAGGTAATGGTATTTGAATTCTCCAATCCAAAGAGCCCTCCCCAGACTGTCAGTTTCAGAAGCACTCCAGTCCTGGACATATCGCACAGACACAGATAGTCTCCCATAGTTAATAGACAATCACACACGGCATTCAGGCTTTTCTTCCCCCTTTTATCTTTACTCTGTGTGTTTTCACATTTCCCTTCTGTTTATGAACTGTCTTCTAACATGTTATGTGAGTTGAAGCTAAAGAATTAGTTGCATAGCTATAACACTAAGACGACGGGGGACATGCATGTGTTTTGTTTGTTTTATGGGGATAAAACTGTTTTGTGTGCCCAAAGCATTGCGAACACGAAGCGAGGGTTATACACGTATAGTACTTGGTCTGTCATTCTGTCCGTCTGTTACCACGTTTTCTGCCACTACGCGCAACAAGACGGCCAAAAGCGATGTCAAGGTTCAGTGCCACACTGGCTTGATTTTAAACTGCATCAACATGGTGGGTGTGAATATAACTGAAAAAGATCATCTTTTTCTGATAGGAACTTCAACATCCTCGTACTCATCATCTTCATCCTCGTAGAGGAACTGAGTATGCTCATATGCTCCTGGTGTATGGCGAATGGTCTTTAGTGGAGTATAGTCATCACTCTCTTCCCAGGTCGGGGAAGTAGGTAGGACCACCATCTCATGAGTAGGCTGTCTCCTCTGGTACTGAGGCCTGTCTGTCTCTCTTGCCTTACTCCCATCTACTGCCCTTGGCTTCGACCACGTCTTCTCCTTGCTCTTGGTCTCCACAAACTCACAGACATTATCGTAGACTGAAACTGGTTCGTAGTCGTCTTCTGGACTGTCCTCCACCTCACTCTGATGCTTTCCATCCTGCTGAGTGTAGGCGTTTGGTACAGCCATTGGGAACAGCCTCTGCCCTGGTTTAAAGTTGTGTCCCTTTGTTGGCTGACTTGGTTTATAGTCACTGCTTACAGTCTTCATTGGAGTGAATATCTCTCCTACATACGCCTCTGTTGGTTCATAGTCACTGTCTCTACTACTTACAGTCTTCATTGGAGTGTACAACTCGCCCACAGAAGACTTGGGGACTCCTTGGCTTGACTTTGGGGCTTTACTTCGGAGGACAACAACTTCATGAGTTGGCATTCTGGACTTTCTTTCAGCCATTCAACAGCCCAAGTTCACATAAAGCCGTGTTTATCGCGTCTGCCCCTTAGCTTTACTTAGAGACCGCCTACGATGTTGATATGCCCATGCACTATGTCAACATGCTGACCAGCCATACTCTGGTTCTGGTATTCATACTATGAGTGGTATTTGCCTATGAATTTGTCATCATAGCATAATTATAGTGCTCATTTTTCCGTGAGTGTCATGTATAATACGGTGTATGATGTATGTGCAAAACACAAACAGTTGCTGTATTGGAAAAAACACACAACTTTGCAAGCTCTATCAAACAGTTACGTGCATGTAGTAACTATCATGGTGCAGACAAGTGTGGTGTTCTCAATGGCAGAACCCGCAGTAGTTGATCCCATGGAACAGGTGCACTCCATCATCACATTACTGTTGCCTTGCACCCTGGCAAGTATGGTGTCAGTATGCCACCAGATACTATCTGAGAATACTGCACCTCTGCACTCCACCGTAGTGTTCACCTATGGAACAAGGTCTGTTTGAAATGTGAACTCTTTAATAGAGCTGCAGTGGCAAACCTGGTTAATAGTTGTCTGTGGGGAAGTTGCTTCTGGCGAGTTTTCCGCCACAGTTTCATACACAGACGAGGCACAACTGACGGGTAATCCTGTGAGCTTTGCGACGCTCCCGTTTATATCTGCTATACTTGCTAACAGTTCACTTACAGTCACTTCCACTAGTGTGTTTACGGAAGACGTTAGCATTGTAACATTTCTTCCGAGTTCAGTGACATTACGTTCCCCTGTCTCTATCCTACTCAGCAGTGAGTAGTTGAGTGCTTGTATCTCTCCTTCAAGTTTAGAAACGTTTGAAACAACTGAAGTGTCTTGTTGGCGTCTTAGTGAAGCGATTTTCTCCTCGTTTTCGTGAATTCTAGTGTTGAAATAACCACGCTGTACATCTAACTGTGAGTCGGTTGTAGCAATTTTGCGGTTCAGTGCATCTGATTCTGACTTCAGTTGTAGAAGAGCAGCATTTGAGGCATTGAGCTGTCTATCTAGCCTCTCGATCTGGCCAGCCATATCCACTGTAGTCTCCTGCAGCTTCTGGTACCTCTCTCCGTTTCGTGAGCTCCCAGAGAGTCCTGCTGTGGCAATCCCCAACACCACCACTAGGGCCACCAACACCACAGACACAGTGACTCCCACAGTCACTATGGTCTTCCAGTGGAACAAGCAAAAGTTTTTCAGCTTGTTGAGGTCCTCCTTTTCATCGGATAACTTGCAATTCTCGTAGCTATTGGAAGCATGACGAGCTTTCCCCCTGGCGTGTACGTTAGAGTAGTGGATTTCAAGATCAGTGGTGGAGTCCTTAGCTGCCGGAACTCCTCCTTCCTCTGCAACACTCGGAAGAGTGCTCTTACTGTTAGAACTACCTGCTCCCTGTGGATTGTTCCTTGTTGCCACACACAGTGGGGCATAGTGGTTCACAGACTCTCGTCTCACTGCCTTCAACTCGGCATACTCGGACTCTGATCTCTCCTCTGCAAGATTCGACTGAACAACGGGCGCCGCATTCCTCTTGGGCTTAGGTTTTGGTTTAGGCTGTGGCGGGTCTGAAGCCTGTGCCTGACGCACCTTTCGATTGCCGCCTTGTCTTTTGCCAGGTGGAGGTTGATTCTGCTTCTTTGCCCAAACTACCTGTCTATCAGCCATTGTCTTCGGACTGGCAGGGACTACAGCAGGAAGAACTACGTATATACAGCGGGAAGAACTTAGCCGTGAAGCTTTCTCGTGGAGCTTCTTATGTACGTTTCAATATTGATTGATGTTTAAAGGCCAATGCGTGTGTTTACTGTTACGTTTTAAAAAGGATGTTGAAAGTTTTATTAATATTTACGTATACACAGACACACCTTAAAAGGTTACTGTTTTTTAAAAATGAGTATATAGCAACTTTTACTATCCCACATAAACAAGTCAAGGTTTACTTTGGTCTTTTTAGCTTTTAACGTTCATTCTCTATATACTAGCCTTTCTTTAGATGCTGTATATAGCTTTTAACTTTCATTCTCTACTAGCGTTTCTTTAGATGGAGTAGTAAGGACTTTATTTCCAGTGAAGCGATATGAACTGTGTTACTGTGAGGGTGCCAAGCCTGGGAAGTGGACTGAAGGAAATCGGGAGTTGTTTCTCTCCACTCCTGAACACTCCACTCACGGAACATGGCTCCAACATCAACCTCTTGAGATTGGGTTTCATCCACATTAATCAGCCTGAAAATGTGCGATAAAAATCTGTTCATAAGCTCCATACACATGCTCAAGATGCACAGTGACAGTGCAGACAATTTTTTTTAACGATTCAGCAGCCTTCTAGAATGTTCTGACACAAGGTTTCAGAGTTAGATATACAAAACAGTGCCTGCCCATGCTCTCACCTCATACCAAGTTCAATCTCAGAGCTTGAAACCTGTGTTAGAAATCTCATGCTGTGACTCTGCACCGACTGAGAGGGATAAAACACAAGTAATTAAAACTGTGATGGAAGGGGCGCCTCACCAGTGGCAGAGGAGACATGGGAATCCACTGGGAGAGACAGAGGCTGGTCCAGTCACTGGTAGAGTTGAGGAGGGAGAAGTGGAGAGTGGGTGGGTTGCGGTGCTCTCTCATGGCATGAGCTGTAAACACTCCAGAACCTAAACAGACAGAGATTGCACAGAGTTTACAATAGCATTGGTCTCACCACTCTAACACCCACTCATGGTGCTTTTTTTGGGTAAAGTTGCCTATTGTGTGCTCTGAGTTATTAGAAGCTGTTTGTCGGCAAGTGATAGAAGCTGTTTGGTCGGCAAGTGTTGTTGTACGTAGGAGATAGGACACTGGGTTAGTAGCTATAATATTATCTTGAACCAGCCACCCTAGCTGGTGTACTGTAATGCAACGGCACAGGGCGACTGGTGGGGAAAACATTGCTTCTTAGTTGAAGGTAAATATCCACATGCACTTCACTTCGGCTACTGGAATGTAAAACCCCAAACCCTTTAGCTGATAAGATATTGAAAGGTATTGCACCTTTAGCTAAACAAACTGTCTTTACAGATGTTGTGACAGCCAAAAGGCAAAACATTGAACAGTTTCAGTTGGGACTCACTGCTTCTGGGAATGAAGCCAATGAGGATTGGGTCATCCATGATGGAGCGATCGTCACCCCTCTTATCAACCCACAGATTGATACGTCTGATGAAAATGAAAAGTATGCTTGATTGACATGCATACAGACTGGATTTCAATGTTCATTATATATGAGAGTTGGAACAGTGATAGACTCATCTATATAGATACACATTACCGTATGAAATTTCCAACGCTAAATTACAGTTAGAGGGAAAATATGTAGCCTTGTTCCCAGGTTGGTGCTTTTTGCTCAAAGCATTCACTTTGCTTTGGACTTGAGTTTGGAATGTATGTAGAGCGGCTAACCTGTGTAGCATGAGGTCCAAGGCATGACCGTCAGAGCTGATAGCCACAGGTCTGAGTGTGAGGAGAGCCAGGTCACCACTGAGAGTCTGAGGGAACACTGCTCTTCCTACTAGAGGATAGGTGTTGGCCTGGAGTGGACTCTCCGGCTTGTAGTACCTCCTCTATGAAAACATGTTAACTAAACAGCTCATGCTTTTATATGGAGAGAGAGAGGGGGGCTAGTGTAGCATGATGATCACTGTCGTGTATTTAGAATGACATAAACATTATGTATGTGAGGTGCCCATCATAATGACTACCTTGCTAGTCTGAATAGTGAAAAAAGACACACTTTTGGTGTCCCCAAGGTGTCCCTTATTCAATGTAGCAATATACTCTATGTATTACTAGTGGAAATGTTAAACATTGTTGGCGAGCAGGAGCGACCCAACTGGGATTTGCCCGCGATGTTCGGGCTGCATAACGTGCCATGAGCAGCACACAGCTTTTTCCTTTCGTGAAGCAAGACAGATCTACCTGTCGCCGTTGCATGCGTATTGTACATCGACAGAACGGTGAGCAGGTGAGCAGAACGGCATGAGGAGAGTTCTCTCGCTGGCTAGATCGATCGGCCCATATCTTGAGGCACCGTCTGTGAAAATGTGTAAAAATTAGGAAATAATTTCGGATAAAAAGAAGCGCGTAGAAAGCCGCGCATGCGCACTTACACGACGTACGCCGTCATAATTATATAGAAAAATCCGCTCGAACGGTTGGCTCGCTCCCGCTCGCCAATTATACCACTGGGTAGTAGCCACTGGCATAGGTAGTGAAAGAAGTAACGTCAGTTTCCGTCTGGAGTTGTGAGAGTACCGAGTTGTGTGGCTCAGATGGTAGTGGGCCAACCCTGTCATAATTATGGGGCATGATGACACACACGACAGACGTGCCAAAAAAGGATAATGAGAGAAAGATACCCCTAAGTGCTGCAGCTTAATTTTAAGGTTTTGTGTGTGCTGTCAAACTGCATCTCCACTTGGAAAAGGTCGTTACAAGCATTTTCTAGCTATAGTGTAATTTTTACAGTTAGCAGGATAGATTCCAGTTGGGTTGACATGCATGCATAGTGGGTATATAGAGCTCTCTTCCTAGATTACGGGTTTGAATCACACCCGGTCAGCTCTTTTAGTTATAATGAGTGCAGTTGTGTTTGTCTTTGCCTTGCGAAATCATTCATTGCTTAGTTAGATCCTCACTTGCTCTGCCACTCAGCAAACATGCTAAAGATGTCAGGAGAACTGCCAGTGGAGTTTGAGAACGGAGCAAAGAGCCTCCATGTTGTATTGATGTACTGCAGAATAGAGAAAGCTGGTTTGAATGCTATAACTGCTGTTTCACCCACTGTGTTTATCTGTTGCTGAACTTCCCACACCAGTGGACCACTTGCAGTCACTCTGATAGGAATTATCTGCAGCAAAATAAACGATATTATAGGCACTTAAAAAGTCACTGCAAACCCTCGGCGAACTGCGCATGCGTGATACTGCTAATTGATGGGTTGGGCTATTAGTATGCGTTTACTCGTGGTCTCCCGCTATAGTAGCTCGCGGAGAGCCTGACACGGGCTAGCTACAGTAGTAGATAGCATGCGGGAGTCGATACACGCCCTTCGTTGTGACTTCATGTGCCTCCAAGGTACACAGAGCCGGTCGAGGTAAGCTAGCTATGTGCAATTGACTTGTTCACTTGGTTTTCACGCCATAACTTCTGAACGCGGCACTCTTACGAAAATCGCCATTTTAAAAATAAAGCCAGTGTAGCGCTGAACCAGTTGGTGTCACTGTTTTACCTGTTTGTTGCGCGTGGTCGCAGTACTGTAACCCTCGCTGCGCATGCGCGCCGAGGGTTAACAAACACTGTATACTACTGCGGGCTTGCTTCTTGCTTGCAGCAGAGTGATCACGTGCTGTTTGGTACCACAAAATATTTTTTAGCTTACAAAATCATTTCAAGAGGGAGAGCACATGATCAAGAATGCACACATATTGTTGAAACATTAATCAACAGAATAATCAGATGTAGCTATAATTATATGTACCTTGGGAGTAAGGACAGTCCTCCCACTGTCAGGGACAAAGGTGTAGACGTTGGTGCCATCACAGACGTTCTCCTCGTCGAGACCCTCCTTCTCAGCCTCCTGGAGGTACAGGTGACTGAGGTGGTGGCTGACTCCAGTCCTCAAGTCTGTCCAGGTGGACAGATGACCCGTGTCGTTGAACTCCAGTCTCAGGTCTCTGTTACTGATCTCAACACTCTCTCCCACTATATACACAGAGATCAGGGGAACACATGGTGAGGGCACTAATATTGGTTCTTCTAGTCTTTGACTGCAGTTGAACCTCCGATAAAGGACACTCCAAACAAAGACACAATAGAAAAGGGCACCTCCCAAACGTTCACTTTTCCATTATTCCAATACGTTATTTCAACATCCCAAGAGAGGATGATAAAGATAAAATGTCTGGTCCAAACGTGTCCATTATTCAGAGGTTCCACTGTACGAGGTAATGTTTAAATTCACCGCGTGTTTGGTAAGACAGTTTGTTGCGACATTTCATCTTCTCCAGCCATATTGCCTGCAGAGCCATGGGCTGTAGATGTACTGCAACATACACCACATCATCAACTTGTTGAGAGGGTAGCTCTTCACTCCTATTCATAGCCTGTGCATTCAATCAGAGACTGTGGTATTGTTGAGCAAAAATAACATTCGGCACGGTGGTAATAGGCACTAACTATCATTCAGTATGTGTTACGGAAGATGGAAGATTCCCTTACCTTGACACAGATACTATCAGGGAGAGAGATCCTAATATATGTGTTCCTGCAACAGAGATAGTTTCCTGGATTCCATGAGTCTATCACAGAAGAAGACACTGTACCTGGTTGTCTCCAGGCTGTTCTGAACTACCACCACAACTCTGTTGGTGTTGGTGAGCCCCCTCAGAACAGTCTCACCGTCTGACTGCAATGCTGGAGCTCTGCTGGCATTTTCACCACACAACACTGAGCTCTGCAGAGTATGTACAGTCGTGTTCAGGAAACGGGAGAGGTTCTACAGCTCTGCAAGTATCTCTACTTGCAGGGGCTTTGTGAAACTAGGCACGAACCACTTTTTTATTATTATACACTACTTGCACGTCCTTAATGAGTGTTTATTGATGCTCAGATCATGAGGTTCAAATTATCATAATACTCAGAAATATTATTTAGACTCTGCATTTATGCAGTGTAGCTCTGACCTTTGTGTAATGCAACTCCTAGTGCCTTTGAACACGAAATTAAGCATTATCGTTGATATCCTCACCTTGAGGGTAGCAATGGAAGAAAAAGTAACTCTTATTGCTCTCCCCAGCCTCTCATTGTAGTCTGTATAACAGTCGGGGTAGCTGGTGCCAGTGATGGCATCATGGTGTTGCAGAAGACCCGATGTATTCCTTGCAAGACTCAGACTATCCTCTAGACTATTTGCAAGGTTGGGGTACATTGCATTGAGCTGCTCGAGAGCATGTAGAGATGCTTCTAACTCCCTCACCAGCAATTTCTGTGCCGGTTTACTGGTATAGAAACCGGACCAGAAAGAATCGGAAATGCCACACGGGACAGTTAAGAAGCCATCGACTCCTTCGCAAGCTTCACTGAAGCACGGAGAGCAAGCAATATAGGGGAAAAAATCGTCTTCCCGCTGGGTGAACGCAACACCACTTTTTGAGACTGCATCAAAATACTCGCTCAGTGTAGAGTATCGGACAGTGATATTGGGGAAGTTATTTGGGTGATCAGCTATGTATTTTAGTATCTCGTCCATCTCCTTGAAATCGGAAGGAGCATCTTGGAAGTGAAAGTCATTACCAAACGGAAGAAGGAGGTTATCTGTTTTGTACCACTGCAGACGCTTCTGGCACGTGTCGAAAAAATATCTCGCCTTTTCCTCAGTTGTGAAGCCAATAATGACAGGAGTGGAGTAATGGGAGTCGAGGACATGAGCAAATATTGTCTGATTGAAAAGAGGATTGTGCCAGTGGAACTCTAGCTCTCGATTTCGCTTCATCTCCTGCTTTACATTATCTGGAATTCGGTTCAACACAAACATATCATAGTTTAGCAGAGAAAAGAGCTGAGGCGTAAAGGACGAATGCCCAAATGGGTCAATATGCCATCCAACTCTCGGACGGACACCCAGAGTTGTGTTCAAGAAAATTAGTCCCTGCGTCATTTGATTGAGGACGCCTCTCAGGGTCGTTACCGCTTCGTCGTGCATCACCCAGCCTCCGCCTATGAACTCCAGCTGTCCCGCAGCATGCAGCTTCCTGATAGCGTCCTTCTGCTCCTGACTAGCCTGCTGCCACCATAGAGAGAGGTAGGATACCTCCTCCCATACGAAACGCTTCCCCTGGTCTCCCTGCAGGGCTTCCAGGACTGAGTCGAGGATGGATTTGACGTCGTCCGCGAAGTATCCCTGGAACGTCTTGCGGTAGCCTGCGTCGCAGTGGCTGTGCGGGATCACGTGCACCGTAGCTGCTCCCCTGCAGCTACGCATCGACCCATAGAGGAGCAGCAGACAGCAAACGACAGAGCTCCACGACATCATCCACCTTGCTGTTTGCTGCAGGGTGCGCGCATGCGCACTGTAAAATAGGCGGAGCTAGCTAGCGTTTAATTCAGTGTCAGAGTCCATTCCGCCCACACATTAATACCTCGTGCGCGGGATGGGCGTGGGACCGACGTTACCCGCCAACTGTACTACTAAACGCGGGAATCTTACTAGTGGGCCTGCCTCGCCCTTCAGTCGTTCGGTGGCAGGACAAGGAGTTGAGAAGGCGTGATAGCGCTCTTTGGTTCACCTCTGGGTGCCTGCCACTATACTGACTGTTAGCTAACGCACTGTCCGAGTTGGGGAAACTCCATACCTACTGTCAACGTATCCCGGATCGCAGGTGGATTAGTATGGCCGCTTCACACGTTGTTTCAAATCACTCTGAGCCGTTCACGGAGCTGTGGGCGGTTCTGGGGAAGGCGGGGAGTTCGCCCACGGAGAGGGCGTCTGCCTACCAGGCCCTCGCCGGGTGAGTTGACACTGTCACAAGTAGCTACAGTAGTTACGTAAGCCAAGTAGTTGAGTGTACGTGTGTGTGTAGGCTTTTCTGTAGAGCATTGATGGTAAGTATACTGAGAACATATGCGATCAAATTTACTCCCTGAGGAGATTGGTTAACTGGGCGAAAAAATAATTTTGGGGTGGTGAGTGAAAATTTTATCTGCGGAATTTTGTAGGCAAGCGACATCGTTCTGAATTGCAGTGACAAGCAACCAATCTGTGGTTGATCACAACGAAAATGTTTTTGTTACTCGAAAATTTACCTGCGAATTATGACACACAGCAATTTGTAGAATATGCTGCGCTGTATTTTGCTGTGGTTTCAGGCCATTGTTAAGAAACAAAGAAAAGTGTACCGTGATGTGTGTGACCAATGAGATGTAGTAAGCTTCTCTTTGTCTTCATCCTAAAACGAAACTGTGTATAGAAACTGTATTGTAAGTATTTCAACTGACTATGGGATTTAATCCCCCTTCCCTCTTCTCCCTCCCTCCCTCCCTCCCTCTCCCTCCTCTCTCCCTCCCTCTCTCCCTCCCTCTCTCCTCCCTCCCTCTCTCCCCAGGTCTCTGAAAGGCGAAGTCTCCCCAGAGTTCATCAATGCACTCACCAACCAGTACAAGAAGATCATCACATTAGTCATGGTGAGTGATGTCCCAGCACACACTGTCATACATAGTTGCCTAACATTAATACACATACCCTGTCCCTCTAAAAATGGTATGGTGACATTGAATTGATGTGCTGACTCAACAGTTTGTTTTTGTAACTCCGATTGCAAGTATTTATCACTACGGTAAATATTGCCTGATATTACGTAATTGTTTGTAATGTAGCTACGTGAACTCAGAGTGTTGTGTCCGCAAATGCCCAATAGTCACCAGACCCTTTTCCTCTCCTAAGGGCGGGTCTGGGTACGAGACTGGACTGCAGTGTGTAGGTGCATTAGTTAGCACTTTGTTTATTTGCCGGAAGTACATGTACATAGTACATAATCATTGATTATTGCTAAAGGGAATGTGTCAGTATATAAGGGGTAAATTTAGGCTGAAGATAGAACAAAACAATAGGGGCACAGTGAAAGAATGCGAGTTCGAATGCGAATTTAGCCCTTACAATACTGCCACATTTTCCCTTTAACATCTACATATTTACATAACACGTAGATAATAATAGTACGCTATAGTATACTCTGTGTACAGTGTAAGTACGCTATAGTATACTCTGTGTACAGTGTAAGTACGCTATAGTATACTCTGTGTACCGTGTAAGTACGCTATAGTATACTCTGTGTACCGTGTAAGTACGCTATAGTATACTCTGTGTACAGTGTAAGTACTACACTCAGGTACTATGTATGCATTATTGGAAATGTGTAACTGTGAGTGAAGATGTGTAATTTGGTGGAACCTCGTATAATGGACACTCTGAATGACAGACACTAGTTTTGTTCTGGTGCTAGTACACTTTAGTCCACTTTGTGTACGGTACAATTGCCCGGACTAAAGGTTTGCACTTTAGTGCTTTTCATTTTGTTCTGGTGCTAGTAATTACTTTAGTGCACTTAGTATTGTATATAGTGCAGTACAATATCCCGGACTAAAGGACACAAGACATTTTATGCAGTCCCAGTGTGTTTTTTTATTCAGAGTTTCCACTTGTGTGTAAATATTGCAGTACAGTGTTGCGCACACACCGTAAGTATATGTACCAGTAAGAGTAATGTTTGCGTAGTAGGTTATTACCAATTTTATAGGTGCATAGACACAGTTATTTGAACTGTCACAGAGAGCATATTGATGCTTTTATAATTAAAAGCTCTAAAGTGCAAACCCTCGGTGAATTGCACATGAGCGGTACCGCTAATTGATGGGCTGGGCTTTTAGTATGCGTTTACTCGTGGTCTCCCGCTAGTAGATTGCGGAGAGTCTGATACGGGCTAGCTACAGAGTCGATACACGCCCTTCGTGTGACTTCTTGTGCCTCCGAGGTACACAGAGCAAACGGATCAGTATCGGTATCGCTGTTTTGTTGTCTTGTTGCGCGTGGTGGCAGAAAACGTGGTAACAGAGACAGATGGACAAACACATAAACCAAGTACCATAACCATCGCTGTGCATGCGTGCCGAGGGTTAATAACCATCTCTGAAATAATCCGCAGGATGACATTGCTGCTGGGACATGTACTCAGGAGGCTATTCAACTGCTGGGCTATTGTCTATTCATCCCGCAGTTGCCGAGTGAGTTGTGGTCTTCCTACAATAGTACTCCACAAGAAACGTAGTACCTCAACTATTGCACACAAGTGAACCACATTGGCAGACACGGGGCAGTGGATATGTGTACATATTATAATACCAAGACTGTGCTGTATATTAAGCTTGTGTAAATATGTTCAGAGGTTTGATTGCTTAGTAGCATTGTGCCTGCGCGTGACTACTTAATGCACATGAATGAAGTGTGCATCTGAATAATTGGTGTGTAACAGCAAGTATATGTTGCAGTGCCCAGACAGGACAGCATGAGCCCTGTAAGGGACGAATGCTGTCCTGTCTGGGTACTGCAACAGATTTGTGGGATATCCCTAGGCAAATGACATGTATGAACCCTGCTTGCACATGTAGGATTGTATAGGCTGATACAATCCCCCAGTACCTAGCTTCATACATGTCGATTGCCTAGGGATATCCAACAAGTGGTTATATATACTATGTGCAAAGTTCTCAGGCTTCACTGCTACTATTTTCCACAGGGCGTGCGGAGATGATGCCGGCAATATTATTGGAGGTAAAGTACAGGGGTAAAACTTGTTGTGCACGATTCCCTAAGCAAACATGTAGGGTTTTCTACACGTGCAAATGTTATACTCTTGACAAGTAGCTGGCACAGGTCTTTGCCAGACTGCATGTTCTGGTCCTGATATCATGCTGGATGTAGGTTAATGTGTGCTGGAGAGTGAAAATGGAGCTTTCCTGAGTACTATCCGTGAACCTGTGCATCTAGTCTAGAAAACCTCTGGCTACGATAGAAAGATCTGGTATAGAAACCATTGAGTCAGTCTCTGTCTCTCCTCCTCCAGCTCACGACTGGTATAGCTAAACGTATGACGAGAGCTTTCCCGAGTAACATTTTTTCCATCCGTGATTTTTATTCAAGACCAAAATACCTGTAATATGTCTAATTTAGTCAGGAACCTCCCCCTTCCTTTGACTATTGTACATATATCAGATATAAAGAGTTCTGTCTCTCCTCCAGCCCTGTGCAGCGTCCGCTACAAGAAGCCCGTGGAGAAGAGCATGCTGACCCGTGCCCTCTGGTGCCTCTCCAGCCAGAACTTCCACTCCTACCAGATCTGCCACTCTGTACCGCAAGTCGTCACTCTCGCAACAGAAATCATCCTCGAACACGGGTTCGGTTCCCTAGCCGTCGAGTCCCTAAACGTGTTTCGTCGAATTCACCAGCAGTGCCCGAAGGAGTTTGGTCTGGTGGTGTCCATGTGGTATAGGGGGGTCATTGTTCTGATGAATTGTAAAGCCGCAAAGTTCCAGCGAAAGGCTCACAGTTTTGCTATCATGTTCGAGTCTTCGATTGCCTCCAATAACTACCTGGTGGGGTACCTGTGTAAGGAGCTGAAGGAGAGGGTCATAGCTGCGATGCTGGGCTACATGGAAGAGAGAGGGAAGGACCCCATACTCATCATGAACATCTGGAGCCATTTCGTGACCGTTCTCGGCAACGCCCTCCACAAACACAGTTCATTTCTGAACGAGATGCTGCGCGTGGTTGAAATTGTGAGTTGTTCAGTCTCTTTAGTGTGTGACATGGTCGTCTGCCTGCTTCTGCTGTGGGAGATTCTGTGTTTAATACACGCATGGACGTAGTTTATAACTTCACTGTGTTTGGAGTACCAAATTGCAAAACTCCTCTCTGTTCCTCTTCTTTCTCCTACCTTTCTCACTTTAGTCTCTTCTCTTCCTTTCCTGTTCGCCTTCCCTTCTCTATCTCCCTCCCCCTCTCCCCCTCCCCCTTTTATGGTGCTGTTCTTCTCACTCTTGTCTGTTGTTTCCATTCCTCTTATCTTTAATCCCCTTTCCCTCTCTGGCTCTCTCTCTCTCTCTCTCTCTCTCTCTCTCTCTCACAAACAACAGCAAAACCCTTTCTTTGCACATACACAGTACAATAAGGGGAGTATGGGATCAGTAGGCAGTTGCCAAAACACACTACAAATGTGTTGCGCAATACTACTGCACACTCTGAAATATACATGTAGAAGTATGTCTCTCTCTCTCTCTCCCTCCCTCTGTCCCTCCCTAACTCAGGGGTTCAAACACAAGGTGTTCCTGGTCCAGATAGCGGCCTACAGCGCCTGGAGAGTTCTCATCAACAACTTCTCCATCGAAATGGACCGTCTCACTCAGCAGAGGAGACTCAGACTCTTATTAATGCCCCTCCTGGCATCGGCGGTGAAGGATAAGCACGAGCAGGTGGAGACGGCGCGACTCCTCACCTGGTGGCATCTCATCAGGAAACTCGGTCCCAACAGAGAAATCCTCTTCAACCAGGTACGTACATATGTAGGAATTAGGTTTACACGAGTGAGACCTTAACTAGAGTGAATGCAATGGCGAGCGAACACGGGTAGTAACACTGTCTCATTTAAATGAGAAACCCACATCATAATGTATGGGGAATGTACCGGTATTTTCCTAAGTGTGCAGGAATTTCAAGCAAAATGTAAGAAATTTCCGGCACAACTTGTTCATGTGCAGGAATAATATGAGGGAGCTTTAAATTCTTCCTGCACATGTCAAAAATATGGGGATTTTTCAGGAATATTTCCTACACTTTTTCATTTCTTCCTGCAATTTTTGAAATTCTTCCTGCACATTTATGAATGTGCAGGAAACATGCTTCCGGCACTTTTGCATGTGCAGGAAGCCTTTCAGTAAAGTGACATGAGTTTCTTCAGTTTATACCCTCACTTGAAAAACGTTTTCTTATTTAAAATAGACAGTGTTTGGTTCAATTCTTCACGTGCGTATTTAGAATCAAGTAAAGTATTGCTGTAGGTGCAGTAGCTGTTATATACAAATCTCCATTATATAAATGAGCTCGCTCGCCAATAAGGGGGACATTGAGTGTGCCCTTTATTCAGAGGGGTCCCTTGTTCTGAGGTCATTCTTATAGTTGCAGATTTCGACAGATGACTCGTCCCCCCCCCTACTCTCTCTCCCACTACACAATGTGTATGTACATACATAGGTCTGTGTCCCATTCCTGTTGTTCTGTCTCGGAGTGGATCCAAAACTGGACCTGAGTAAACTGCCGTCGGTCCTCGCTGACCTCGGATCCTGGACCCACCCCACCCCTCTCTCCCTCCCCCCTCCCGACAGACTCCCGACCAATCAGAACAAGGAGAACCTCCCGGCCCCGCGCTGTCCTACAGGACAGGGGAAGACCGGCAGTTTAGAACACGGCTTCTCAGGCCGAGCGGGGCGGCTGTTGACGATGTTGAGCAGTTCTTCGCCGGGGAAGAAGTCCGACCGACTGTACCAGAACACTCCCAAACTGGGTCTAGTCATGAGTGCGTGTCAGGCTGTGCTCCAGTTTGTCGACTCTGATGTCACCCTCCATGGCTCTCTCCTTGACACCGGTATTGACTGCATCATACTCTTCTGGTTGCATGACTGTGTGAAAACTATACAGCTGCGTATATACACTTTTGGTTACATGGATCCATGTTTGCTAAAGCCTTTAAAAAGTTCCTATTTTCGTGTGATGAGTGGTCGATGCACACCATTGGGTGGACAGCTCATTACCGGTGCTTAAAAATGTTTTTTCTGAAGTGAACAATTATTAGCGTCGCAAAACATATATTTATATCTGTGCACACACATTTGGACCATGCATTTATTATTGTGTATGTTCTGTTGTGTTATATGTACAACTGTGTATACTGTGTGTGTACTGTGTACGTATTGTACTGGACTATGGCAGATGGTGGGAGTTGTGTTGTATACCCGAAGAACGCGGTGCCATTTGAGGTCGTTCAGTTCCTGACAGTCTTCCTCGACGGAGCTCTCCTGTACATGGTCCACTACGCCAAGGAGGTTAAAGGTCAGTGCTGTATATTCTCATGTTGGTGTGCCGTGGATATCTCACAATCAGAAAGGTAGAGTACTTTGTGTTACTTGCCGTCTATCACATGACTGCAAGAGAGACATTGCAACTAGTTTCTTGTATAGCAACTGGAGTGAAACGGAAGAAATGAGTCACAACTAGATTGAAGAGTATCGTTCTTTTAATTGAACTTGAGTATGGATAATAGACGTGGGTTAACCTAGACGTGAGAGGTGTCGTTTATTTGCACTGAATGTAGACTATTAACGTGTTTCGTAAGAAGCCACCTAATATCTCTTCCTCCAGACGGCTCAGTGGAAAGCCTGGTCAAGTCTCTCTTTCCAGTTTTCCTTGGAACTATCAAAAGAGGTACAGAGTAAGCCACATCACTCCTTCACATATTTTTACAAAGATATACCCGATATATACTGTACCGTAAGTTCGTGATTGATTAACTTTGCTATGCTCTTGTAGTCAAATTGAAATTTACACCTTACAACTGTGTGACAATAGGACCTCAACTGTTTTGTGGGGGAAAAACCACCAACTACTAAATACAATGTTGTGTTGTATGTTTAAGTGGCATTTGGGAAAAGGTTTGTTGGTTGAATATCACCTGTCTTGCGTTGACGGCCCATGAGATGGTTCAGTATATACGATTTAACCCTTTCCCTCCAGAGAGTGCGACAGATGCCAAGACAGCATCTCACCTGGTGGCCCTCCTGACTAGCATGCTGAAATGGGAGGCCGTCACCACTAATGTCTCTACCTCTACCAGAATGGTACACACTGCTATATATAAGACACTGGCAATGATGTAATGATGATGTAATCCCTTGCAGGAACTGCTGAGTCAGCTGATAACTCTCCCTCCACCTTTGACCTCTGTCATCACCACCACTCACGTGAGATAGTTGTTTGTGAGTGAATGTAGAGTGTGCATGTGCATTGTCATTCAGCCAGTCATTGAAGGCATTTTCCTCGTAATATGATTGTGTGTATGTAAACCCATTTGTGGCCTTTTCATTTTAACAAGATATGCCGTTTATTTCTGATATCCTATGGTTCTCGGTTTGTTGTCATAACTACAGTCCTACATTTATTTCTACAGGGACCAATGTATTGGTCTAGTGTAGCACATGAACTGATCAACATGGCCTCTACCGAACATAACCAGTGAGCTATTATGTACATACTGAATAATTATATACATCAAGTCATGCTTTTTACAATACATTTCCGTGACATAACGTATGTGAAGGTCATTTTTAAGGTGATAACTAATACATTTGAAAGTAATACTCACATTATGCAACATAGCGTATCGATTTTTCCATTCCGTATTAATGTGTGTCGTCAGCAAATTAAGTCAAAGCAAACCAAACATGGCTACTGCACAAAGGAGCAACTCTTTTTTTTACACCTGCCAGCCCCAGGTTCCAGAGCAGCTGGTGTAAGGTGGTTGAGCTGTCGGCCTGTCACAGCGGAGGGCCAGCCAGCCTTGCCACGTTCTCTGAGCTCTGCACTCACCTGGACCGGTTTGTGACGACCTTTGACCCTGACTGTCCGAAGAAACACACCCCGTCTGCCACTTTCCATCGAATGTGGATCTCTGTGGGTCAGAAGTTCATTGGAGCTGTGAAGGAAGTGAGTCAACCTGTACATAACTGTAGTCATCAACAGTTGTGTACGTATACTGCTGAGTTGCCCGGGAGGAAAAACTAATTGTAGTGATTATTGTAGTGATTTTCCTTCTTAGTCGTGCATGATAATCAGGCTAATGTGTTACAATGCGACTGAATACAATGGTCGCACCAAGTAATGTTAAATCGGTGCCTCGGGATTTTGAGCCCATAAAGGGGTGTGGCTTTCAGAGATACAGTTTGCCGTGAGAATGGCTGTTTTGGATTTCAGACGAGTCAAGTGAATGAAGGCACTGCTCTGGATCCAAACTTCGCCACTGCTCGTCGCATACTCAAGTTTCCATTCCTCCACCGCGTCTTCTGCAATTCTGAAAGGGTGAGCTTTGAATCACTCTATTCTACTGAGTACACATCACTCAACGTATATACTGCGTTATTGTGCAGCCGATGATGAGTGTTACGTTCGAGACGTGGAAAGAAGTTTACGACACTTTCTGCCTCCATTGCTCCCTTGTAGTGAAAGGTAATGTGTACTTCTTTAGTGCAAAACCTCTCGCAAAGGTCTGTGTTATTTCAGGGAGTAATTATTCAAGACCTAATTTATATATATAAGGATTTGTTCATTTTTGTGAATCATAGTATGTGTGGTGAGAAAGCAATATCACAGACCACACGCAAAGAGAGCTAATAATATACACATTGTACGTATAATTATTATGCATTCATTTTTGTACACACGTAGATCCGAACCACTGTGCAGAGCTAGTGTGCAAGGACATATATGACTCCTATGGACAGAATGTAAGATACATGTTGTGTATACATATGTATGTAGTATAGTATTGATCTTTATGCATATGCCATTGTATATTTCGTCGTTGAAACGAAAATATTTACAGTGGCTGGTTTTGTGTGCGTCCATCCAAGCATTTAGCAACCCATCATGGCTCTTTCATTTCGCAATTTATTGCTGTGCTCTTCCTCAAAGTTTTCGCTGCATTGGGTGGTGTACATATTTACTGTAGGTGAGAGGTAGCAGTACCACTCTGGACAAGTCGGAGACAGTCAATTTCGACTGGTATCAGAACACGGTGGGCCAGGCACTGACTCATGTTCTCACCAAGTTCAACTGGACCCACCTGAGGAGCAGTGTGCCGGGGGAGGGGGTGGGAGGGAGGGGAGGGGGGAAGGGAGGGAGGGAGGGTGGTGTGAAGACAGTACAACCTCTCATTAGTGTGCTGTCGTGGCAACTGGCCACTCTCTGGGACACTGTGCAGCGGGTAAGCCCCTCTTCGTTAGCTATCAAACGCTTGCTAGCTATAGTGCTTAAGTATGTGTGTGCCTTAGGTACAAAATGTGCATAAACTGACTGTTTACTTGGTATACACAAGGCTTGGGTACACATGGATTTTTTTTTAAAAGGAACATTATAATGTGTAATAGAAACAAATATTATAATGAATGCTTGTGTGTGTTGTCATTGTCTGTGTCTGCAGAGTCCGATGCAGATAGGGCACCTGTCATCCCCGTACACTCTCATGGAGACAGTGACTCTGCTGTACTCCGACCTCCCGTCCCAGGGATCTCATCCTCACCACCACTGAGATGCTGGGCCAGCCTATGGTCACACTCTGGCAGAACGTCCTGGAGAGGTACATACCTATGTGATGTCCAGTTGAACCTGTTTTTACCAAATGAGCAGCAGACACAATTTTTGCAGTATACTGCAAGAAGTCAACAAAATAATGTGAGCATAAGGCTAGGGTCACAATACGTCGCATTGCCCCGTCGCACCGTACTGCGTTGCTGCATCACGAGGATAGAATCCCATTTATATCTTCACAGCATGATGCATGGCACGGCGCAACACAGCACAATGCGACATATTTTGAACCTGACCTTAGGCTCTGCGTTGTATGTGCCAAATATGTTTCCACGTGTAGTAATGCGCTTGATTGCATGCACCCACCAGAAAGGCATTCTTGAACAAAGTGCCCTGTACATTTGGCAGGTAAAACAAGTCTGTGTGGATCTACAGACCAGCTTGTATACTTGCTTGCCAAATATCCCCCTTCACAAATGTTGTAGTAGTGTCTTTTAACAGCTGGTGTAATTTAGCCCTGTCAGAGCTTACCCACTGGCATTACTCATGACTCTGACCTTGCAGTGAGGCTAAGTCGCCGACAGTGAACCACAAATCCCCGCACAAGGGACCTTTTGACCTCCAAGAGAGGATCGTGAAGGCGTGGAGAGCGGTCCTGGCCTGTGTCCAGAGCCGCTACGGCGCTCCGTTCACCTCTGACCTCCTCGACGCCCTCTCTCCCCTCCTCGTCCTCTGTCTCTCGTGCAAGAGACAGGACGTGGTGAGTGAGACTCTGACCTTTTGGACGGCCACCTTTGACCTTGCCCCTGAGCCTCTCGTCTACCCAAACAAGTTGCGAGACGTGTTGGTCAAGTGTAGGAAGAAGTGGGACCTCCAACTGAAACTGCCTGGCTTTGAGGTATGTAGTTTACTTAACTGTACGCTGCCTGCACTTTTCACTGGGCCGGTCTAATGTAAAGTTGACAATGAGGCATCTTAAAATTTTATTGTATGACCGATTGGTGTGAGTTTTATTATCTTTAGCCTTACCAGTAAAGCTGTAGGCCAGTTTACTAAAAAAAAGCCCTCCTGTCCATTTTTTCATAACAAGTGTTAGCTATGTAATTTACATGTACGTGTACAGTGTTACATATACATATTGCTGAGAGCGCTTACTTTTGATTGCGTCTGAAACAGATCGCACTAAGGTCAGGTGTATTAGAGCATATGTCACATGTACTGGTACTACTGTATTTACTAAAGTGCTGTTCTGTTGTGTCGCCAGCAGACAAGTGGGGCAGTGGCCCACTCCACAGTAGAAGACAGTCTCCCTCACACTGACTCCTCCCGACATCTTCCCTCACAATCAGCCCCCGCTGATGAGCCAAGCCCCCATAATTCCGGGGTCATTCTCCCCCACCCCTCCCCCCAGCGAGGGGTCCGCGGGAGCTTCCTCGGACAGAAACGCTCGCCCCGCCCTGGCGTTCCGACCACGCCCCCTCGTTCCCCGGCAGCCCAGGACATGGAGGAGATCCTGGCGAGGTCGCGGGGTCACGGAGGAAGGGGAGGGGCAGGTGTTGCGAAATCTCCAGTCCTCTCTGCCAGGAGACGACTCTCCCTCAACTCTGACAAGGTTCACGTGCTTTCATGTACATGTTTATAGTTGTGTCTTTTTAAGGTCTGCTCCTACATATTAAGTGACTGGTTTCATAGCACTTATAGCACAGAACTTTGTGTATATATGCAGTAAGGCACTTGGAATGGGGGTTAAAGCCCTGACCTAAGGAAAGCCTGGGCTTCAGCTCTCTTGTATATATGCCTCACACCAGTCAAAAATTACTCATCTTGCAGTTGAGGGGTTCCTCTGCAAACCGGAGTATTTTTTGACTGGTGTGAGGCGTACAAGAGAGCTGAAGACTAGGCTTTTCCTTAGGTCAGAATCACATTCAAATTTATCCAGAAAACCCTCCCCTGCTTTCTCCACTATTCCAAGTGCCTTACTGTTCCTATTATACACGTAGTGATGTGTTTGCTCCTTCACATTCCGTCTCTCCCACTGTATGTACCCTGCAGCCAGAGGACTATGTGTTGGTGGAGCCCCCGGCCAAGAGACAGCAGCTGCTGACAGAGCACCAGAGAGAGAGGATGAGGGAGAGGAGAGAGAGTATCCCCGTCATGTACAATGCCCTGGACCCTTCTCAGGAACCCACTCAGTTCACCGCTCAACCTGACAGGTATAGCTATATACTATATGTGGCAAATTTTTTTAGTTTATGAGGCCATTTGTAAGAGAATTTCGATGAAGAGTACAGCTTTTGCAAACTTTGTAGGCCGTCTGAAAGTTCCACGAAAATTGTTTGCGGTGAGATTTGTGCTCTTTGCACACCTTTTGTCGCTGCTGTATGGTAAGAGTATACCTGTTGGTACAATGGGGAGCGAACACTGGTAGTAACACTGTCTATTTTAAATAAGAAACCCACGTCATAATGTATGGGGAATGTGCCACCTTTTGTTGCTGTATACCTGTTGGTACGTCATAGTACGTACGCACAACTTCAGCACTCACTCTTTAGCCAGGAGCATAGTACTTTGTTTGATGTTGACTGTGTATCTGCTGTAGCTGCAGTAAATACGACCATTTCTTTGTTCAGTGCTCCAGATGAACCGGTAATCATCCCTGAATCAGAGGGGTCTCCCCCGACAACAGTCACCGCCAGATCCATATTTGCCACTAGCTCTGAGCCCCGCCCACCTCCCGTCTCAAGCTCCATCTCCTCATTAGTACAGGGGCCCTCCTCATCAGTTCGCCCTCGAGCACATTCTCAAACTTTCAGCCATCAGTTGGGTTCAGCTCCAATCAACAGCAATGCCTCAGTTTCAACCAATCAGGTAGCCAGCAGTGGTATGGAGGCTTGTCGGATGGTATCAGGTATCCACCAAGGTCACGTGCGCAAGTCCCCGATATCGTCACGAACTCGATCGAGAGCAAGACCAGAGGAATTTAGCACTGCCCCATCGGGCAACGGGACACCTTATCCAGTTGCACTCAACGCTCCCCCTTATTACTCTGTCTCACGTCCGTTTGTACCACATTCGGCAACGGGCAGCATGATGCCTGTGAGACTAGCCTATCACCCTCTCCCATCCTCTTCCCCTACTCTCCCTGCTTCCACTCACCAACTACCCTCTACAAGCATCCATCCACCTTTCTCACCCACGGACCAACACTACCAGACTGTTCATGGTGGACCTAGGTTCCCAGCTATTGGAACCGAGCCACAACAAGTGTACCAGTTGATCCAATCTGGTACCGGCCACCCCGTTATGTTCCCCGTGCCCCTTCGTCAACCCGTCATCACGGAAGCTCATCCGAGTAGCACTTCGGGTCCCCAGTTTGTCCCTGTGATTCCACAGTCTATTGCCGCAGGGCCCGTGGCCCCCACCACCTCAATCGCACCAGGGGTTTCCTCGCAACAGGATCCAATCTTCCCTCCCGCTCGCTACATCTTCAGACCCGGTACGAACCCTCCTCATCCTTACAGCCTCCACTCTGCACCGGAGACTTCTCTGCCACCTCTCCCACTTTCTGCCGTCATTCGTCCCGATCTCTCTGCCACTCGGCGAGCCAACAAGCAACACTCCTCTACTCATATTCCTTATCTTCTACCAGCGGTACACCGACGACACCTAGCGGTTCAGACAGGTTACTGAGAGGGTCAGTCGATGCTCCAATAGTCATTGAGGATGTGGAGGAACCATTGACTGCGGTAACAGAGTCAGGGAAGACGAAAGACACGGTGCAAGTTTTAGACTCTGGGGGTGAGGGCTCTGTCCGAGATAATGAGATTTTGATATCGTCAAAGACTGACGAACAGGGGCAGACATCGGCATTAGTAGAGGGGGAGTCCACTGTTGCAGAGCCAATGGATGAAGCTCAGCCGGTGAACTCAGCAGGTGAGGCTACAAGTGAAGTGGCTGCGGCTCATAAAGCTATGAATGAAGATATGGAATCAGTAGAAGAAGGTGGAGAGAAGGGTGGTCAGCAGCTCATGGAGGAAGAGGGGAAGGAAGATATGGAGGTGGTCTGTGGGGAGACAGCAGAAGAGAGAGAAGAGAGAGGCAGTGAGAGCACCACTCTACAGATGACTGTAGGGTCACCGGAAAAGCTCCCTTCTTCTCAGCCATACGTTCCCATCAGTATAGAGATCATTGAGCGCCAGTCAGACTCTTCTGGTGAGAAGACAGCACTGGAAGCCACAGAGGACAAGTATATGACTGGAGCTCAGTCTCTCGAGCCACTCTCAGAGTCTTGTGAGCCCGGCCCTGCCCTGTTCGAACCTCCTACCTCGTCTCAGGAGGAAGCCCCTGATAGTTTAGGGACTGATGAACCGGCCAGTGACACCGGAGACTCGGGTCAGATTGTGGCTAGTGATGGAGGTGACCCTGTAGTTTGTGAGGCTAACGAACCAGCTGCGATTGAGAAGAGTCCCGAGGCGAAGAGTGACATTCCTCCTACCACCACCAGTATAGTCCACGCTGCAGAAAGTGGAGAGATAGAAGGAACGGGATCTAGTGAAGTTACGGGAAGTATTGAACAACCGGATGTCAAAGTTAGTGAAGAAATCTGTAAATCGGACACAGAGGGCAAGAGAGACGAGGAAGAGGCTGAGGACGAGAGCGAGATTGTAAGAGAGGAAGAAAAGTTAGTGGAAGAGACTTGTGTAACTGACGGTGCTAGAGAAATCCAGAGCCAGTCGGAGGAGAAAGAAAAGAAGGGGAGTGTGGATGGTTGTGGAATAGAAGAGAAAACCATACTCGAAGAATCTCCAGTTCGAACAGCTCAGAAAGTCCCAGCCATGGCAGTGACACCGACCACCTCTACAGCATGGGGGTGCGCAGCCTCGCCCAAGACCACGCCCGGCGGGATCCTCAAACACGTCAGTCAGTTTGACACGCCCACCTCGACTGCCGGCAGAGGTCGCAGGGTTCAGTTTGCCAGCAGTCCAGTTGTGTTCCAGCCGACTAGGGGAGGGGAAGAGGGATATAGGACACCCAGACACTGTGAGTTGACAATCAATTGCTGGTATAGCGCATTTCTTTAGTCTCTGAACTAAGGTCTAAAATTAGGCAGACATTGCGTACAGTACAATATTGTATACAGGCAGTAAAATGAATAAGGAACGTGAATTGTTACATGCAAAGAAAAGCAGTGGAAGAACCAATTTTTCATGACACCCAAGGCTTTTCTCCATAGAAAAGAGTTTCGACTTAAACCTTGAGACTGCTCTTATGCTGCATGGCACCATGTGTGTTACTAAAATGGTTTTGTCCTGTGTTTCAGCTCGGACCAAGAGTGCTCTGTCCTCAAGGAGAACTCTACTGAAATCTGACTCCAACACTAAACCATCACACACCCAAAAGGTACAGTAATTGCCGAGCGCGTTAGCGTGAGGCAACTACTCCGGGTTGTATTCTCGCAATATGCGTACGTACGTCGTCAATTAGTCGCCAAAAGGAAGTGTAACCTCCGTCATTCGTAGGAAGTCTAGCTTCCGCCCTGCGCGCAGATTCGTAGGAAGTCTGGCTTCGCGGTTCGTGCGCAGTCAGTAGAGCGCGCGCACGAGCGGCCTCAGTCGTATTGGCTGCTGCTGCTGGCAAAGTATGCGCATGCGCATTCCTAGTAATTTTATGACATCGCTGTCTGTGCTAAGCTCCCAGAGCTTAGCACACCCAGAGCTTAGCACAGTAAATCTCTTACAAACATCTTTGGTACCTGAACTGTCATGCAACTGTAGTATGTATACACAATCCTAAATAATATTCCAGTCTCAGAGAGTGTCGAGTGCGCCGGTGTATCCGTCTCTGGCTGACTGTGAGTCTCCTGTGGAGGACATCCTCCCCGTCCTCTCACCTTGCCGCTTGTGAGTCCCACTCTGTTGAGCCACATTGTTGCCTTGCACCTCACTCATTACCGACAAGTGAATACAACAACCCAGTGTGTATGTGTGTGTATTTACTGCATGCAGCAGTGGAGTTGGTACATTAGCTTGTGAGTATATACCACCCTATTCCTTATGCATTGCTCCCTAAGTCCAATTCGGATACAACAAACTGTGATAGAATGCAATGCTGCAGTAGCTACATGTATGTGCTGTGATATGACAAAGAAAGAGACAATCATAACTTTTGAACAAGTGTTGCCAATCTGCAAGGCTTTACTGACATCGTAGGCTGACCCTCTCATTTTCTCTCTTGATCCAGTACCCACGGTCTGGTTCATTTGGTCCATGCTCGGAACATTCGGACTGTGGGTAACATCTCATCTCTCTCCGAACAAGAGGTCCAGACTCTCCCCATCAAATCCCCTAAAATCGAGAACCTGAAACAGGCACTGAGAAACTTTCAACAGCACCTGGTAAGACTACGTGACACTTATGTCAATTACAGGGTCCATAATAATGTCGGAATGTGTATATAGTAGAGTAGCTTATACAGTAGTATGTGTCATTATAATGCTTCACAATGGGCCTGTTATACAGGGTCTCCATAATAGTAGTGTAGAAATGTGTAGTGTGAGTAGATTATACATTGGGTAATGGATGCATTGGGACTCCTTTAAAGAGAGTTTTCCCTTCTTTGAACGTTTAGGACCTCAAGGTGTGTCTTTTATCATGAGGTTTTCATTCTGTATTGTGTTCTTTATTCGGAGTGTCCTTTATTGGAGGTTCTACTGTAGCAGAATAAACCATCTTTATATATACCTGTTTGGTTAACATTGGGTCTGTATACAGGGTAATAAGAGACGTGCCTCACTGGACAGTGACAGTCTGGGGCCACCAGCCAAGAAACGAAGCCGACAGAGTGGTCCAGAAGAGGTGGGCAAAGGAGAGACCAACACAGACCAACGGACACCACAACCACCCAAACAGGACAAACCACCAGAACCAAGTCACGAGGAGAGTGAAGGGAGGGAAGATGAAGATAGTCAGTTGAGTCTCGTTCCTTCTCAAGCTTCCCAGAGTGAACCAGCCGTACTACTATCCTCTCCCGATGAGAACAATGATGGTGGTGCAGACGGCTGAGAATGAAAAGGGTGAGCCCCTTCAATCAGCCGAGAGAATGGACGACGATAGCGTATTTGTAGAAGAATCGCAGAGCGTCACAAGCCAACACGTGACGGACATTTCAACCGTAGAGTACAGGAATGAGAACGATACGGAGGGAGACGAGGAAGATGACACTATAGAGACGGGGAGTGCCCTTGAGAAGTCGTGTCCCAGCCCTCCATTGGGGGGAGTTGGGTCTCCGGAGATCCCGTTACAGAGCAGCCCGTCTGAGTCTCCTATCGGTGGGACGTTTGACATGGTGGCGGACGAGAGGAATGGGAGTAGCGTTCAAGACAGTGTCTCCAGTGACAGTGAGAGCGAGGGAGAGAAGGAAGTGGAAATGGAGTTGGGGGAGACGGTAACGGATGCTAGTGCAGGAAGCATGACATTGTCGTCTGAAGAATCACAGCAGTCGACTAGCTTACAGCACGACCATTCTTATTTCTCCTCCGCCACCGAGGAAGGAGAGGGAGCCTGTGGCGCACTTGGAGCGTTGCCAGCGGCCGAGCAGAGAGAGAGGGTGGAAGTTGTGCCAGCAGCACAGCTGGCTGACCATGACTACTGCAGTGTACTTGAGCCTGCGTCTTCTTTGGAGGGAGATCAACTTCATGACCTCCCACCACCTCCAACCAGTGATACTGAATTTAGGAGTAAGCTGTCGTCTGACATCCAAGATCACAACTACTGTCGTCAATTAGCACCCAACCCCCCAGGGGTAACCCAAGACCTCACGTCCGAACCAGTTAGAGATATCACACAGAATGCTGTGAGTGATGAAACCTGCAACTTAGCAAGTCAGGAGCTGTTTTCACAAAGCGATGATGATCGTGTAGCCAACGAACTGCTTGCAGATGACCCTCCAGTCAGCCTCCCTGTTCTCTCAGACATTGGCTGTCAAACTGTGTTTCCTGACACTCGAGAACAGTCAACTTCCACTTTAGCATTGGCAAACTCTTCTATTCCATCAGACAGCGATGTTGAGAGCTCACTGAGGAGTTACGTGGATGGTATCCTTGGAAGGGATGACCTGCCAGTGGCCACTCTGTGGAAACTGCACCAGCAGCTCATGTGTAGTCTCTTCAAGGTTTCTGAAAAGTTGCGTGCAGAAAACTCCTAGTCCCATTTCTTATTTTTCTCTCATTCTCCTTGCATATATACCTGCCACTATTATGTCATCTATTTCACAGGTTGTCCTCTCTATCAATGTACTTTTGTAGACTGCAGGAAGGGACACGAGTTTAAAACTTGCGTAGCCCGTAGCCTTTTAGACACGTACGTACACACAGCCAAGCGGTTAAAATCACCACTTCAAACCCTTCCGTCACGTTTTACTGTAGGTGCAAGGGCAGGGTTTGCGCATTCATCGCCGCGTAGCGATGACGTTTCCGCGTGACGCGACGCAGCAGACTTGTGCATGCTCTCACTCCGACGCACGGAGAACGGTGACTAAATAGCTCGGACGAAAGACTCCGAAGACAGAAGAATCCGAAATTTATTTGACGAGTATACTTAGCTATAGAGCTAATTCAACGAAGCCCAAGCCGACAAGTCGTGGGCGCACGAACAACCTTTCTTTCCTGACGACATAGCTAAAGTGAGACTTACCATACAGAAGACAGCCCCAATCGTTTGATTGTTCTGTGGGAAATTGTGGTTGATTGCTGTTTGCTTTTTGGCCGTATTAGCCCGACCTAGCATCTGGCTGCACAAAAGGGGGCATGCGTTTGGTTTCGCGGTCGTGTGTTGTGCGGTAGAACTCGCATACAACCTCATAATTATCTGCTCCACCTATAGCACTGTATGTAAGTCCGAATATTTTGTTAAGACAAGTTAGCAGAAATAAGTGGCCTACTGGTACAGTCATTGTCGCCTAACTATCTTAAGAGAACAAGAGAGTCATGCAAAGTCATGGGCATCAATATACACCACATATTTTGCTAAAACCCAATGGTAGTAATATTATTATGTATGTATTAGTTATTACACCCCTACGAGGTATGTTGCTGGTTTATAGGCCCGACGCCAGAGGGCGCGTAGCGCCCGAGGGGGAGGGCCTATAAACCGCAACATACCGATATTAGGGGTGTGATAATTGGTTTATAGCCGTTTTCCGCGCGCGGCATCCGTATACTGCAGTATACTGACCGTATACGCAGTTTGAAATCTCGTTTGAAAATGGCGACGTCTTCTAGAAGCTCGAAGAATCTGGACCTACTTGTCCCGGACGGGTGGGCAGAGAGCGATCTATCCTCGGAGGCGGAGCCACCGCCAAAGAGAAAACGTCTCTCCTTGCGTAATAAGACTAACCAGACGGAGCCACGTACGACGGACCCGGGAGAGCCGCGTAACCGTTTTTTGACGTCGGAGGAAGAGGCCGCTCTCTCTGAGAAATGTATTCCTAAAAATACAGCAACTAGTACCAAATGGGCAGTTGCCAATTTTGAATCTTGGCGTAATAGAAGAAACGAAACCTTCGTTCAGGATCCCGACGGACAGGTACCGGATGGTGTGTTGTTAGGCGCTGATCGCGTTGCTCTGTGTAAATGGCTATCGTTGTACGTCGCGGAGGCCAGAAAGCATGATGGTTCTATGTTTCCACCAAAAAGCCTGTACTTACTTCTCACTGGATTGTTGCGTTTTATGCGTTCAAAGAATGAACACTGTCCTAATTTTCTTGACACCAGCCAGCTTGAGTTTACTGCGTTTCATAATGCCATGGACAACGTATTTCGTAAGCTTCGTTCTGAGGGTGTTTCTGCGGAGAATAAAGCAACCGAAGCCTTTTCTAAGGGCGAGATTGACCAACTTTGGGCATCTGGAATATTGTGTGTTGATAATCCTAAAGGGCTTCTGCGAGCTGTATTTTTTATGAATGGAATAAGTTTTTGTTTGCGTGGAGGGGAGGAACACAGAAAACTACGACTGAGTCAGCTGAAGCGTGAAAGTGACCCTCCGAAGTATGTCTATACTGAGTTAGCTTCGAAAAATAGAGCTGGTGGGTTGGCTCAGCTCCGTGTTAAGAATAAGTCGGTGTCCATTTTTGCTGTACCAGAAGCTGGAAACAGATGTCATGTTTTCCTCCTGGATTTGTATATTACCAAACTTCCTAAACAAGCTTTTGAACAGGATGTCTTTTATCTGCAACCCCTCAGTAAGGGATCGAACAAGCCTGGTCAGCCATGGTTTACAACAAAACCTGTTGGTAAAAATACCTTAGCGAAGATGGTTAAGGAGATGTGCGTCGATGCAGGTATTGGTGGAAACAAGACAAACCACAGTTTACGGGCCACTGGTGCTACTGAATTATACCAGGCAGGTGTCCCTGAGAAAGTGATACAAGAGCGAACAGGTCACCTCTCTTTGTCCGGTTTACGTCAGTACGAACGCACTTGCGACAAGCAGCACGAGGCTGTATCCCAGATCCTTGCTGCAAAGGAAAATGTGTCATTTCAGCAGCAAGTTAGCATGAAATCACATTCATTGGTGCATATGCCAATTCCAGCTCCTCAATATTCCTTTTCTAACTGTAATGTCACGTTTAATACAGTTCACCCTGGTTATCAGCCCCCTGTGGCTTCTTCAAGTGTTTTTTGTGATATCACTAACTCTAAAACTCATGATTAGAGTCACTGAGTCATTGTAAGTCATGAAATTCATGAAATCTTGTTGCAACAGATATAGCCCCTGGTTATATGCCCCCACACCTAGTTATAGCCCCTCTTGACACCTACTTTGTGGTTTAGTTGATTTACAGTGTTATCCAAATGTATGGGAACCAC